TTGATTAGGTCCAAGTGCAGCCACTGGCACTCCCCTAGGGGACGACCAGGGTGGAGTGAGTGGCAGGCCGGCCGGCAGGTAGGGGGTCCCACCTCCTTCTGCCCGTCCTGTCCCCGGACTCACCCTGGCAACAGAGTACACCATCCTCCTTGAGTGCTGTCTTCATGAGCTGGTAGTAGGACTCTTTGAAGAGACTCTCGGCAGGGCCTGCAAGGTCAGAGGGATGAGGGTCACCTACCTCACAGATCCCTGCAGCTGTTCCAGGATTAGAACCCAGTCTCCGGGGCCTGGCACAATAGTATAGTGGTTAAAGTCCCCGCCTTGAACATACCCGGATCCCATATGGGCCCTGGTTCTAATCCCAGGAGCCCTGCTTCCCATCCAGCTCCCTGCTTGTGGGCTGGGAAAGTGGTCGAGGACGGCCCAAGGCCTTGGGACCCTGCACCCGTGTGGGAGACCCGGAGGAAGCTCCTGGCTTCAAACTGTCTCAGTTCCGGCCGTTGCAGCCGCTTGAGGAGTTATCCATCAGGCGGAAGATCTTCCTCTCTGTTTTTCCTCCTCTCTGTATAACTGGCTTTCCAACAGAAATAAATAAATCTTAAAAAAAAAAAAAAAGAACCCAAGTCTCCAGCATTTGGAATCCAATCCTGAGCCGCAGGGGTTGGAGGGCTCCATATTCAGTCCCACTCCTGGGACATTGAGAACAGCAGCCTCAATCCCACACGGGCCTCAATCCCACCCCAATGCCGGTCAGTTAGGGCACAAGAGGGGCTCCTAGGCACCTTAGTTTAGCTGGGCAGACACCACAGACTGCTCCTCGGCCCCAGTGTGGCACCCCTCCTTCCTCCGCCTGGGCTCACCCATCGGATCCGAAGAGTCAGTGATGATGACGTCGAAGGCATCCTGGTTTTGCTTCATGAACTCGAAGCCGTCGCCCACGTGGAGGGTCAGCTTTGGGCTGGAGTAGCCAACGGCCATCCCTGGCAGGAATTTCTTCGAGACGTGAATGACATCCTGGATAGGGGGATGGGAAGGACCAGGCTGGGCTGTGGGGTCAGGTGCGACTCCTTGGCTCAACCTCTCACAACCGGTCACTGTGAGCCAGCCCTGCCCTCACTCTACAAATGGGCAAAACCTTGGCCCCACACGGGGTGGGAGGGCTCCTACCTGCCGCTCTGTCTCCCACCATCCCTGTCTCGTTTCCCCAGACCCAGTGCTTTCACCTGAGCAGGGTCTCCCACATCAGAGGGGACACCCCTCCTGCACACAGCCAGCAGCTTTTCAGGCCTCAGCTCAGACTTCTGCCTGGCCAGAACTGCCCTCCCCTTTACCCCCAAACCCTACCTTGCATGTTCCCCCATAACCAGAACAGCGGTTCCGGAGGGGCAGGGGCCTCGGCCCGCAGCAGATGCTACCGCGCTGGCAGACATGATGGCGGCTAACCGGGCTTGGGCGCTGGCCCAGGGCTGACCCGAAAGCCAGCTCTAACCGGACAGGCACAGCTGCTCACTTCCCGCCCAGCTCTGCTAAGGAATTCTCCCCACATCTGCTCTCCAGATGAGGAAGCCGGCTTGGGGCGGCCCGCACCCACGCACCTCGTCAATCTCGCACTGGACCACCGACTCCACCGAGGGGTGCTTCACTACCTCGCGCAGGACGCCCCCGTCTCCTCCCCCAATGATCAGCACCTGCAGGATGGGGGTGGGCGAGTCAGAGAGCCGCTCCGAGGCCACCTGGCTTGGAACATGCCCCCTGGGCGAGGCGAGGCGACCCCATACCTTCCGCGGCCTGGGGTGGCTGCAGAGGGGCAGGTTGGCGATCATCTCCTGGTAGGAGAACTCGTCCCGCTCCGTGCACTGGATGACGCCATCCAGCACCAGCACGTTGCCGTAGGTCTTACTGCAAGGCGGTGGAGTGACAGTCTGGGGGCTTGGGTTCGGGCCCAAGGCAGAGCACCCTCCAAAGTCCCGCCCGCCCCGCTGGGGACCCCGGAGACGGGCGGTGGAGCGACACGTGGCGAGGACAGATGGGCGGGCGAGCGGGGGCCGCGGAACCCCTGGGTCGGCCAGGCTCTGACGCGTCCTGGGACTGACACGTGGAGCGCGCGCTCCTGCAGCCCCCGCCCTGCCAGAGACGCCGGGATGAGGGCTGGGGAGGGCGCCGCGGCAGGGGCCGGCCTAATTGGTGAGAACTTCTGACAGTTTGGCAGAGCGGGGGGCGGCAGAGCGAGCGGGGCCGGGTCTGGCCTGCCGAAGAGGCGGTCTGGGCCGCGCCCCGGCAGCAGCAGGCCTGGAGGGCCGCGTGTTGGAGGGGGTTCCCGGGGCGGCCGGCGTGGTACCTGCGGAAGACGAGGATGTCCTGGAAGCGCGAGCGCTGGTGGTGGAGCAGCTGTTCCACCTGCAGTGACAAGGCCTGGCCGGGCCACAGGCTGCACGTCTCCCGGAACCAGCCCTCGCGGATGGCGTCGGGGCCTGGGGATGCGGGGCGGTCGGGGCCGGGCTCCATGGCTGGTGGGCGGGCGGGCGGCGCGGGGCGGCGGGCCCGGGACTACAGGCCGCGCCGAGCCGCTGCACAACGGGACCAGCTCCGCCCGCCGCCCCTCGCAACCTAACTCGGAGGCGGGACCCGGCCTGCCGGCGGGGGTGGAGGCGGACCCGGGCCCGCCAATGGCGAGGCGGGAGCGGCGCGCAGCGCGTCGGCGGCGCGCCCTGGCCGGGCGCTCATTGGCCGTAGTGCACAGCGCGGCGCCGAGTGGCCAGGGCGCGCTGTCCGTCAGTTGCAGCAGGGTAGTGAGGCCCGCTCCCGGGGCCACGTGGGGCCGGCCCCGACGCCGGGCGGGTTCCGGGGGCGATTGGGCCGGCGCCTTTGGTTAGGGGTTCCCTCCAGCGCCTGGCCGTGGGCTCCTGTTTGCTTTCTGGGGGCGGGAGAGGCCGAGCGGGGGGCCCGGGAGAGGGGCAGGAGCTGACGTCTCGGGCTTGGGGATGTGGCTTTAGCCTCTGGCCACGTTGGAGTGCGCGGCCGCCGTGTCCCTGGGGAGTAGAAGGTATCGGCTGGACCTGAGTGGATTTCCCCGTAGATTCTGAGCCACGAACGTCTGGGTGCTTTTTTTTTTTTTTTCTGAGCGAGTTTCTAAATTTACCATCGGTGTCCAGGAAGAGGACCAACACATGAATATTCAGTACCAGAAAAGACTGGCATGCCGTTTTTTATTTTTTGACAACCCGGGTCCTGCTCTTTGAAGGGTGGGCGGGAAGGTGCTTTCTGTTTTTAAGAAAATGTCAAGGAACTTCTCAGAATCACATTAAGCATGCTAATTGCCAAATATTAAATGCTAATTGCTATGCACGCAGACTGAATGCCAAGGAAGGCAGATGAACCTGGGCGAAGCTCCTGTGACATTATGTCAAGGATGTTCTTTTGGAAGTGGGAGCAAGACCCCTGTTTGTCAGCACCCCTTCCCTCCTCCAGAAGTCGCTCCAGGCTGGCCAGCCATGTTGATGGAGAGCTTCGTACAGGTGTTGACAAAAACCCAGCACTGCAGCGATACAGCAGCAGGTCATGGATCTCAGGCGGATGGCATGGAGTCAGCCAGGACCCTGCCTGGGTCTAGCCCTGCAGTTCGCTCCTGCTTCCCCTCCCCTCTAGGCTAGGCGTGGCCTCTGCAGGATGTGTGTCTGATTCCGGACAGGCACATCTCAGGGTACATAGGGGCTGGGGTGCAGGATCAAGTTCACTCCATCCGTCCTACAGCTTCTGTTGTCCACACCAAGTGACAAAGAGTGAATCGCTACTTGCTTCTGGTGATCCTGTAGGTGAAAATGTGGCCTGGTCTCTAGCAAGGACAGAAAGGAGACCTTCAGGCTGGAGTTCACAGGAGGTGCTCTGAACTAGTTACAGGCCAAGTGCTCCACATACTGCCCCAGGAGCCCAGATGCCGTGCGACTGCAAGGATGGTGAATTCTGGGTTCAGACTGAACTGTGGAGCCCACTGTCGGTGGAGCTGACTACCCCATCCTCCTCGAATGGCCGGGAGCTCAGCAGAGTGGGGGAGCGGCTAGGGGGCCTGATGGGGGATGTAGTCCTAGATGAGGGGCTGCTACATGGTGTCTCTGTCACAACTCGGAGCCTTTCTGCTCCCACATTCTTGGGGTTCTGGCCCTGGGGCCTGGCCTGGCCCCCGGCCATCATCTCCCACAGCTGGAGTCAGTGGGCAACTGCTGACAGGCACAGACATACCCACAAGTGTCTAGGGGTGTCCAGGGCCCCGTCCTCCGTGGCCCTTTTGCAGCAATGCTGCTGGTGGTCAGAGCTCTGGCTGTTACCCAGCTTCCAAAGGTGGCTAAACCTCTGACTTCTGCCAACTTTTTCTTGTGAGAAGTGGAATATCGACAAAGCCCTCAAAATCCTATTATTTGGTTTCCTTCTAAAATAAAACCTACCACAAAGACAGAATTATTTTGAAAAACTTGCAGCTAAGGATGGGGGAGAATCGGGGTGTGGAGGAAGTTGGCAGAGTAGCACCTGTGCTCAGCAAAAGGTCGGGAAGGAGATCCAGTGGCTACGTCACCTGCACGTGAGCTACACAGGTCCCAATGTTCCTCACATTTTTCTGTTTTCTGTATTTCTTATAGTGAACATGTCAGTACTTTTACCAACAGGGAAAAACAAACTTTTTTCTGTAAAAGTGGGAGAGATAGGGACACAGGAGGACAAAGTCTTCTGGAGGCTGCAGGTGGCTCTGCGATGCCACACAGTTCCCTTCCCGACTGGCTTTCCTGTCACCTTATGGCACTGGCAGGTGTATGATGCCCTGCAGGGCCCCAAGGCGGAGTCACACAACCACACTGCCCTCTTCTAAGTCACAGCAACTTCTCCATTTCTCCAGGACACTGGTGCTGCGACTCTGCAGAAAGCAGTCACCTCCAAGGGCACACTTACCCTCCATCAACCTGTGCAGGACAGCTATAAGGGCAGCCACAGAGCAGTCAGGGACCAACCTCTCTCAGTAAGAACCAGTTTTAATATTTAAAAAATGTATCTGTACAAAATCAGCAGCACCACCTGGTGCTTGGCCACCGCAGGTGCCCCGGGGTCTCTTCCGGCATTATCTCTTTGGCCAGTTGTGTCTGAAGCCTCTGCAGAAACAGAGGGACACAAGAATCACTCCTGTGCCCACTGCGGGGAACCTGTGTGCAGCAGGTGTGCCCAGCATGGCACAGCCCAGCACCCCACAGTGAGGGACTTCACGGGTGTGCCCAGCGTGGCACAGCCTAACACTCACAGTAAGGGACTTAATGGGCATGCCCAGCATGGTGCAGCCTAGCCCCTCAGTGAGGGACTCCATGGATGTGCCCAGCATGGCATAGCCTAACACTCACAGTAAGGGATTTAATGGGCATGCCCAGCATGGCACAGCCTAACACCCACACTGAGGGACTTGGTGGGCATGCCCAGCATGGTAAAGCTAACACCCCACAGCTAAGGGATAATGTGTCAGTCTGACACAGCGTTAGCTGCGCACAGCTGAGGGAAAGGGTTTGCTCAAGAGCCACAGAGCCCGGCAGTGCAGACATTAGCGAAATGGACCGGGCCTGCAGCATGCCCAGCCCCATCGCAGGGCCCGAGTCTGCCCCAGGTCTTAGGATTTCGTGCTTTTCACTAAACATTCCTGAATTACAACCCACATTCACTTATTTTTTCCTCATTCCTGAGAAACAGGCTGGCCCAGGAGACTGTTCTCCAGTGCTTCTGGGGAATGGAACAACAGGAAACAGAGTGATGGAGGTGTGGGGGCCCCTGAGGGCAGGGGCCATGGGACAGGTGGCCTGGAGCAAACCGCTTCCCCTTCTTTCTCCCCTCCTGCTGAGTGACAGGCAAGGCTGCAGCCAGGAGAAGTGCTCTGAGCTTGGGGATGGCGGGGCTGGGGAGTACTTTCCCACCAGGCTCCCTGGGCCCCGCTGCTGCCACGTACCTGTCAGACTTCCCGGTTGCAAAGGACATGCTTTTGTTTCCCACGGCCTGCTTGAGCTTTTTGGCTGCGATGCTTTTCTGTAAAGGTAAGGGGCACTTGGCTGGGCTGGGAAGGCATGGCTGCGGCAGCCAGCCAGGTGTGGGCCTCGGCTCCACAGGCGGCTCTGGCTTCCTGGGCTGTATGTGCCTATCCCTCTAAAGGGCAGAACTATCCGGATGAGCTGTGCCAGGACCAGGAGAGCCATCCAGCCTTCCCCTACACACCTGCAGCCTGGCGCCACCCCAAAGGGTGTGGCCCGTGGCTGGAGTTCCACAGCAGCAAGTATGGCCTGTGAAAGCCATATACCAGCTTTTATAAACTTTTAAAAAAGACACTAGGACAATCAGTGGGTCCCATCTATCCCCAGGAAGAGGGCGGTGGTTTCTGGGGTGGTAAGAAGGGGGAGTAGTAGAAGCCGCGCCCTGGGTGCCCGCAGCTCTGCAGCTGGCATTCCTACCTTGCCTGATGAGTTCTGCTTATTTGGATCAAACTGCGAGGAAGGCTTAGGTTTGCTGTTTCCTGAAGGGTAAGAGAGAAGAGAGACCAGTGGTCAGAATGACTGTCAGTGGGCAAGGCGGGCAGCCCCCCACAGATGTGTTCTCGGGGTGCTGGCAAGTGGGTGATCCAGGTGCTGGTCCTTTCTCCCCATGCAGCTCCACCTGGGGCCGCGTGTGGCCACCGGGGGGCCTGGGCTCCCAGGCAGCATCCAGCCTCGATGACCCTTAGGGGGATGATGCTGTTCTGCCTCCACTGGAGCTGGGGGCTACTGGCTGCCCCTTCCAAGTACATGGACTTACTCAGGCTGAAGGACCAGAATGTGCAGCTTGTGTCTGGCCTCAGCCCGCGTCCCCATGGCAGCCTGGGCTGCTCTTACTCCCAGGCTGGCCCGGGGCTTTCCTGACCCATGCTCCCCCTCCCACAGGGCCCTGGGTCTGTTCTCACCGGCAAAAGCCTTGAAGTCAGACTGGCTGTAGTCGTAAGGGGTAAACTCTTTCTCTGAAGGTACCGAGGCTTCTGTGGCCTTCAGCTTCTGGGAAGTTTTGAGTCGCTTCTTTTCTTGTTTTTGCTCTGTGGTCTTGGTGTCACTTGCTGATCGTTCTCTCTTCCTGGCGGCGTTTTCTAGCTGCACGTGGAACACACCCAGGGGAAGAAGTATGAAGTACAGGGGCTGCGCAGACACGCTGAGCACCCCTTGGGACCAGATGTCCATATTCTGCACCGTGGCACACCTGTATATGCAGATGTGTATAATGCAACTTGGGGAAGGGATCCAAGCATTAACACAAGTTCATTTATAGTTGTATCGCAAGCATTTTGAGTGTTTGTGTATGACATGGTTTCATGGTGTGGAATTTTCCACTTGGAGTACCACCATCAGTGCTGCAGAAAGTTTTGAATTTTCTAGAATGTTCCTTTGTTCCAATATAGATGCTCAATCTGTGTTAGCTGGGGACATGGCTACCTGTGTGCCAGCGGTGGGAAGGGACATGGGGCTGAAGTCTGAGCAGACTGTGGATAAGGACAAGCACTGACAGGTGGTGCCAGCTGGGACCATGACACCAGGACGTTTTGGACAGGCAAGGATGGAGAGAAGTCTCCAAGTACCCCAGGCTGAGTGAGGCTGCACAGCAGGGCTCAATATCTGGCCATTATTCAAGTCCAGGTGGCTGGCACATGCACCTCAAGGTGGGGGGCGGGGGAACTGCTCAGGGGACTCTCAACATCCGTGTTCTGAGGGACCCATGGCAGCCCCAGCGGTGACCAGCCCAGGAGAGCCGGGAAGGCGGCGGCACGGGGTGGGGCACACAGGTCAGACCTCCTAGTGCACCTGAGGGGAATTCTGCCCGAGACCAGGGCAGCATCAGCACCTACCGCTGCCTGCTGCCGCACGGGCATCGCCTGCCCTGCCGGGCCTCTGCTCTCCTCCGGGGCCACTTCCCGGGCAGCTGCAAGAGAGGTGTGTCAGTGGAACTGCAGGGCTGCCCTGCCCCCAGGAGTCAGCGCAGCTGCTCTCCCTCCCAGGGCTCAGCCTGGGCATGGCTCACTTGACATCCCCACCCAGTATAATGCTATGGTTTCCCCAGAACTGGTATGGCACATCTACGCCCATCGGACCTTGGAGGAAGCTTAATAGGGTTGGCAACCAACAATATCAAGAATCAAAGGTACTTCCATTACCAGCCCTTTCTGCCTCCTCCTGCCTTGGTGGCAACTTCACCCTGACCGCTTTCTGCCCTCTCCCCATGACATGTGACTCATCACCACACACTGTCAGCTCTCCTGTGGGCCAGGTCAGGGCTCTGACAAGCCCACCAGCTCCTGTGTTGTCACACAGCCACCTGCAGCACTGGCCCATCTCCTCACTGGGCTCCCAGCCTTTCCCTGCAATCTGCTCTCCATGCAGAGGCAAGAGTGATTCCTGCCCTTCCCCCACTCAGCGGCCCCAAGGATTCCCAGCACACATGGACTAAAAGGTATCACATTTAAGCCCAGCCCACTGCTCTCCTCCATCTCCATCTCCCATCTCTCCCCTGCTGGTAGCCCCACGGGCCCCCTGCCTGCCCCTAGAGCAGGTCCAGCAAGGTCTGCACTCCAGGTCTGCGGCTTACTCTGCCACTAGTCTCAACGCTGCCTTGACTGCTGCGGTTTCTGGTGAGTATCCCGGTTGTGAGGCCAGCTTCCCAGACCTTTGCCAGCAAGGACCTGACCCCTCAGCAGCCCAGGCACTCTGCTGGTCCCTCTGTGGTTGACCTAGTCATATGCACTGGCAGAGGTCAGCTCCCAGGGCAGGGCTGGCTCTGTCATGCTCCCTGCTGTGGAATGACTGAATGAACAGCCCAATATGCCCAGCTGTTCTTTCACAAACAACGATGGAACGAGGAAGGCAATGCTACCTGTTTGCTCAGCTGCCTTCTTCTTGGCAGTTTGAGAGTCTTTCTGTACCTGCACCTGGCTCACCAGCTTCCAACGGTTGCTAATCTGTAATGAAAACAAAAGCTCCATAACACAAACACCTAAGAGCATCTTTTTAAAAATGAGGCGATGCAGGGATGCTGTGAATGACATGGAAATCAAACCTTCATAGTGGCTTCATTCATAAAAACTTTATAAGTAGGATGCAGTATACCTGGCTTTTGCAGCCATCATCTCACTCCCTCCCCCTTGGGGACAACACCTCTCATGCCACTGGGGAAGTGGGCACGGGGAGGCCAAGCCACTTGCTGTCCAAGGGATCCGGTAAGTAAGGTGGAGCTGGGGCTTGGGGCAGGACTTCTGCAGGTCTGCTGTATATCTGCCTCCACATTCACTTGTGGCATTACAGCATATCCAGCTGACTTGAGATAAGCATGATCAAGTATGCTCAGCTCTTTCCAGTGGCACAGCTAGTGGGGGAAGGACTAAACCCTACCTGACTTCCCACTTCTAAAAGCAGTGGGCATAGAGCCACAGCTGCGGGTGCCCTGAGTGCGAGTCCTTCCCAGCAGGGGGCATTCGCTGACAATGACAGGGGCAGGGACAGGCTGCTCTTATGGTAACATATAATGCTGTCGAAACTAAGTAGGTAGACCTGAGAAATTGTAAGTCATCACCTTCTGGGGCCTTTAACACAACAGCTATGAAACGTATCACTGTGTTCTACCACATGCAAGCTAAACCCCAACCAGCAAGCAAGAACACTGAATTGCTTCTTGGGTTTTGCCAGAGCTGTAGAGAATCAATGATGACCTGCTCTCCCTGGAAAGCAGAGCGTCCCTGTTCACCGTCCAGGGCTCTGGAGAAGCAGCCTTCCACCTACGGGCATGTCTAAAACAGAAACCTGAACCTGTCACCAAGTCTCCTTTTCTTAGCACACATTTCAGAAAGCGTGCCCAATTGACTTACTTCATAGATCTTCGATGATGGATCCAGCTTGGCTGCCTGAGAGACGTGAGCCCGGTGCTCCCGCACAGGAAGGAACTGGAGAAGTGAAGAACCATGGAAAGCTCTGAGTAGAGTCCAGACCCACAGCCAGAGGCACTGGGATATTGACTCAGAAGGGCTCGGCTCAGGGACTGGTGCTGTGGGGCAACAGGTTCCAGCACCACCTGTTTAGCTGGCATTGTATCCTGGGGTGCCAGTTTACATCCTGGCTGTTCTGCGCCTGCTCCCTGCTAATGCATCTGGGAAGGTGACAGATTAAGGTCCCTGGCTCCTGGCTTCAGCCTAGCATTGGCCTGGCTGTTGCAGTCATTTGGAGAGTGAACTGGTACATGGAAGATCTTCCTCTCTGTCACTCTGCCTTTCAAGAGAATAAACAAATATTTGTTGTCAGGGGCTGAAGTATTTAGGTCATGTTTCATTGTTTTTTTTCCAGGTGCATCAGCAGGGAGTTGAAGGAGAAGTGGAAGAGCTGGGACAGGGGACTCTAGTGCTGCAGGCAGGAGCTTGACTCATTGTATCACAATACCTGTGCCAATGAATGGATCTTTAGTAGACCCCAGCCCAGGGCCCTGACCTGGACTGCGGACACACGCAGTGCCCACAGGCTTCCTCTCTCTGCAGGCAGCTGGTTGCCCAGGCTGAAAGGTGCCTACAGGTGCAGAGATCTCTGCCTCTTCCATCATCCCTGAGCACAAACCTTGGCTTACCATCCTAAAGGGGTTTTCAAAGGACTCCATGATGTTCTGGGCTTTTTTCTGAGCGATGGTTAATGGACCCTTTCCATTTTCTTCAGCACTAGGTTCCTGTAGGGACAGACCAAAAACGACCTCTTGAAACCATGCTAATCTTGTGACGTTAGGAGGCAAGCAGGAGAGTAAGACGAACATCAGTGATCAATGGCTAGGGTTTGGAGCTGTGTTCAGACACCAGCATCCCACATCGGAATGCTGGTTCAAATCCCCACTGTTCCACTCTTGCCCCCATAGGCTTGCTAATACGCCTGGGTAAGAAGATGGCTCAAACACATGGACCTCTGCCATCCATGTGGGAGACCCAGACGGAGGTCCAGGCTCCTGGTCTGGCCTGGCCTGTTTTAGCCATCTGGGGAGTGAACCAGTTGATAGTAGATCTGTGTTTCTCTGTCACTCTTTCAAATACATAAAAATGGTTAATTTTTCTTAAGCTCATCTTGTTGTAAGGCACTGGGTCTGCAACAGCCCACAGTATTTGCTGAATCAGTGAACTCTTACGTCCCTATGACCTACTACGTACAGGCACATCATCACGTAAGGACAGGGAGATACTCAGGGGGCGGTGGGGGAGGGAAACCTGTCCCTGTATGAACATCCCGGAGTGAACTTGCATAAATTCTGACAGCTATGCCCACCCTGGGTGACAATCTGACAGGACTGCACTGTACATGCAGTCTGAGGCACCATCACACAGTGCATGGCCTTATGTTAATGGGCAGCTAATCTCAAAATTATTTTGCACCAAAATAAACATCTTTTAATCCCACTTTCCCACAGATATCTTGAGGCACTCTGGTACATGCCGTCACTCTCAGCGCCTCGGAGGACACTGTGACTTGGCGAGGACAACCTCCGAGTCTTCCAGCAGTACGGACAGAACGAGTTCGGAGTGTAGGTCCAGCTGGCCCTAGAGCTTGAGGTCTTAACCAACACCTGACAGTCTTACCTGACTATAAACCTTAATGAGGGGCAATAAATTGGGCAAGTCTGCTGCTCCCACCTGGAGGCATATAAACAGTGGAGTCATGTTGTTTAATTCGTAGCGCATGCCCCTGCTACACGGTGGGGAACAGCACAACTGACTGCAGCCTCCAGCTTATGCCGACACGTTCAGACAAATCACCTTGCACCTCATGACACCTTGACTTCTTTCTCACAAATTGTTGATAAGAGGCGATCCAAACTCGAGCTAAAGAAAAAAGGGGCAGGGCCCAGCGCCGTGGCCTAGTGGCTAAAGTCCTTGTCTTGAATGTGTCAGGATCTCATATGGGCACCGGTTCTAATCCTGACAGTCCCACTTCCCAACTAGCTCCCTGCTTGTGGCCTGGGAAAGCGGTCAAGGATAGCCCAAGGCTTTGGGACCCTGCACCCGTGTGGGAGACCCGGAGAGAGGTTCCAGGCTCCTGGCTTCGGATCGGCACAGCACCGGCCATTGTGGTCACTTGGGGAGTGAATCATCGGACGGAAGATCTTCCCCTCTGTCTCTCCTCCTCTCTGTATATCTGACTTTGTAATAAAAAAAAAAAAAAAAAAAAAAAAATCTTAAAAAAATAAAGAAAAAAGGGGCAGACATTTGGTACAGCAGCTAAGAGTGCTACCTGAGATCCTCAGACTGTGCTGGAGTGCCTGCCCAGGCACTGTGCACGGCTAAGCTAGTTTCCCGCTAATTCACAATATGGTAGCTGGGGAAGGTCCCGGTCCTTGAATCCTTGCCACCCACGCAGCAGACTGGAATGGAATTCTTGGCTGGCTTCAGTCAGGCCTGGCTGTGGTGGGCATGCTAGGAGCGAACTGGCACATGGAAGATCTCTTTCTCTCTACCTTTCAAGTTGAGTGAAAGTTTTTATAAAAGACAAAAGCTGCAGCTAGTATTGCAGAGGGTTGAGCCGCTGCCTGCAAAGTTGGCGTCCTGTATGAGTGACCAAGTCCTCGCTGCTTCACTTCGCATCCAGCATCCTGCTCACGCACCTGGGAGTGCAGTGCAGTGAGCCCCTGTCACTCACGAGGAAGACTCGGGGTGCTGGGCTCCTTCTGGCTTTGGCCTGGCCCAGACTCAATCACCGTGGCCATCTGCTGACTGAAACAGTGGACAGAGTTTTCTTTCTCTCTCTTAACTCTGCCCTTCAGATAAAGAAATCTTTCTTCAAAAACAGTAGCTAATTATTAAAAATAAAGAAGAGAGTCAAGTCCCAGGAAAGGTTTCCTGCAGGTGCCACTCGGGCTTCCTGGCTCGGGCCCAACTCTGGCGCATGGAATGGCCGGAGCCTGAGTCCGTGACGTGTCCCACCTGCTTCTCTGGGCTGTCTGAGCACCGGCTGTGCTTGCCACCTTTTCTATGCGAGGCCCAGGGGATTCCTGCCTTTCACAGTTCTGAAAACTCTGCATTTTTTCTCTCTGGCTGCTTGCAGTATTCAGCTTTCTCTGTGTATTCTTTCATTTGTTTATTTCAGTGTTCAACCATTCTAGCCTACAAAGGCACTCTGGTCTTCTGTGAAGAGCCTCAAGTTTCAACTGCTGGTAGACCCCAAAGCCCAGGCAAGCAGGCTCCTCAGTCACACGCGTTCCAGCCCAGGCCAGTCCCGGGGGTCTGCAGAATGGCAGTCGTGACCACAGCCTCTCCCTTGTCCCATGTCTGTCAGGGACAGGAAACATGAATCTGCCCACCCGAGGGTGCTCGGTGTCTTCGTTGTCTCTGCGAGCCACAGCACCGAAGTTTCCAGAGTGTCTTCCTCGTCACCAGGCCATGCAGAGAGGGTGCAGAGGTCAGCAGGAGGGCGCCGCAGCACCCACTCTCCAACTCATCAGCAAGCGCTCACTCTGCCCTGCTGGGCATCTGGACGGATGCTTGGCCTGGACGGCTGTGTCCTGACGGGCTGCTGCCATTGGCTCAGTCCGTGCCCTTCTCCTCGCCAGGCACTGGTCAGTTCCAAGGCCTCCAGTTTTCTTTGCTTCACACATGGAGCTCCTGAGGGTCCTCCGGCCGCCTCCCGCAGCCCACTCCCCCAGGGCGTGGGTGCAGGTCTCCACCCCTTCCTCCCGCAGACTAGGTTTTACTTTTTTATTAGTTTCAAAAGTGCACGCAACCCTCTGGCCAGGAACCCTGTTGGAAAACCCCGTCAGGCCCCAAGTCCACATCACCTCAGTGACGCTGCCACACTACTCACACTGAATAATGTGATGACAGCAGCGGCGATGAGACATTTGGTATCCAAGGAAGTCTCTGCAGTTTGGTCGGGGAAGAGGCTTGCCTCTTTCTCAACTGGCACAGATCCTAGAGGCATGGAAGTCAGCAAGGTCAAGGCCTGGGGGACTTCCCACCAGGCAGCTGGCCCAGCCCCTTGGGAGAGTCCGGGACCTCGCTGTTACCATTGGTTGGGATGATCGCCTGGCCATCTGGAGGGGCATGGGAGCAGTCATGAGGTCCAAAGAGAACATTCTCCAATGTCTGCATCAAAGAGAAACCAGCAGGTGGGGTGTGAAAGCTGCAGGTGCACCAGGAGCTTCTGGTCAGCCTCCCTCAGAGTTTGTGTGACCTGGCGCGGACACCTTCCTCACGGGGGAGGACGGGCAACTCTACCTCGGCAGCAGGCAGCGGTCCGCTCTTCCTCACTCCGGCTGTGGTTTCAGACTAGGGAGTAAAAACAGGCATGAGCAGGGCTGCCCATCCTCGGCGACACACACACCCAGCACGGGACCCGGAGAGGTCCTTTCACCTCTTCACCCTGCCTGTGCCTGGCACCCTAAAGCTGCTAGTGGAACGATGGGACAGAGCTCTCTATTGTAACATGGCACAACATGAGGGACTCCAAAGAGCTTGACTAAGACCCTTCTCTAGCAGCTGGCGCTCCTTTCTCTACTGGAACAAAGTGCTTGCTCAGCTACGAAGGAAATGTTAACACCAGCACTATAAATGCATTTATTCTCAGATTCTTTTCTTTTTCAACTTAAGACAATTTTGAATGTTTCTAGGTCAACAATCTCTCAAAATATCACAAATATGATTTACCATGTATTGCTGAGTTGCATATGTTAAAGTGTCCCAATAAAATGCAAATCAAAAGATGCAAATCTATTTTAATACATGACATGAGCTACATGCAGACACATGCACCCCTGAACACACACGCATGCCACACCTGTGCTTTGAGCTGCACAGCCGGCTTCCAGCTACGCTGGTCTGAACTGAAAACCCTCTCCTTCAGCTTTCTCAATCCCCACTTCTGTCCACGGTTCTGCCTCCTGCCACCCAGGTTTTAAATTCAGAGGTCCTTCACACCATCTGTATCACCCTAAATCCAGCTGCCACTCGAACGACTTCCTCTGGCACTTAAGCTCATTACAAAGGCCCATCAACCGTCTCCTCAGGCACTCTGGACGCTCCCTGGAATGGGCACACCTCATCAGGTGCTCACGTTCCCCATGGGCACTGTCACACGCAGGGCCCCTCCAGTTCATTCTGTCACATTAAGCACTTCTGAACCACAGTTACTTGGTGTAGCCATTGCAGGTTACTCATTACTGGGCCAGCAGAGACAAGACTGAAGAATAAGTGGTTGAGTTTTAACATCAGACTATCACAAACAGAAAACAGCTAAATTCAAAGATACCCCACTAGATTTCTGAGGTCTAATTCCTTCTTAGGATGATTTAGAAGTGAGCTCCCGTGCAGACGGGGGGAAGCTGCCAGCAAGAGCAGCCAGGCAGCGGGCCAACATCTCACCTTTAGCAGGGGCATCTCGCGAGCCTGCTGGATGAGAAGGTGCATCTCGTTGATCTGCTGCCGGACAAGAGGCGGCACTGGGTTACAGCAGGCTACGATGCCCTGGGGCTCCCTGAGGACAAGCGCAAACACGTGGTGGGTCAGAGCCGGGACACGGTCCCTGGAGGCGTTTGGGACAAGCCAGGGAGTTCTGCACAGCTAACCATAGACTGAAGAGCACACCCATGGCCTGGGTCAGCCCTGTGTCAGGGGGCTCTGGCCGCACCACCAGGCTCTCACAGCCCAACTTTTGCATTCCAGGAAAAAACAAGAGGCAAGTCTCACAGCTCCGCTAGTTCTCAAATATGTGAATTTTAACTCTTGCTATTTCTTCACAACACCACCAAATGTTTAAAATCAGAAAAGGGATGCTCTGATCGGCAAGAAAGAAAAGAGCAGACAGCGTGAGACTTCTCCCCGGGAAGGTGGATGCCACAGGCTCACAGACTGGCCCTGAGCTCAGGCAGGCCTAGTGACTGAAGCTGGTCCAGTTCAGAGGTTTCAGTTCTTACACGGCAGCCCTGGGCAGCAGCTTTGGATTCCTCGCGCTCCCTACTCGCCAGGCTTACAACGGTCAATCTCTCTGAGCAAAGCAGCCGTGGGTCACAGCAATCAAGCTAGCCTGCTTTGAAGGACCCAAGTCTACTGAGAAAGCCACGGTGTACTGTCTGGTGTTCAGACTCACTTCGGCAATTCTTCAGCTATCTTGAGCATCATATGGTTTGGCAGTACATATCTGCAATAAAACACACCACAGGATCCTGTTAAATTCCGCCAGGAAGTTCTAGTAAATGCTGCAGCACGGGGAAAGCAAGCGGCTTTCAAAGGCAAAAGAAAAATCCGTCATTTCCTTGTTATGGGACTTGCTCAGTTGAGGCATTAAAAGAATCTCTGATCCCTTACCCGTAGCTTTCATCTTCCCGGCGAGCTGTTTTGTCCCTCCAGGCAAAAAGCAGCCGAAAGGCAGTCAGCTGCTGCGTGTTGAGATGTTTCTTCTGCTTCCTGTACAGCTCAAGGTAGGACTCATCGGTGAAGATAGGTTTGATGAATTTCTGCAAAGTGGTACAGAACAGCCAAGATCAATAGAGATTAAGATGAGGCCCAGGCACTTCACACACTTGCTTGTCATCTACTTGCAGGGCGCAGCTCAGAGCCACAAGCCCGTCAGAAACATCAGGCGGCAGCACGCTCAGCCGAGCCATACCTTGAGGCAGATGTCCCTGCTGCGCTGCCACACCACCTGCAGCTGCACGGGCTGCTCGTTGCCGCGCTCCCACAGCTCCAGCCTCATTCGGTCATAGATGTAGAGCAGGTAGTGGGTATCATTCCGGGCGTAGGCGAGCATTTCCTCAGGCAAGGGACTGTGTTGGTAACAGAGAACATGGGTTCACGGTCTGCTCGGGCTTTATTAGATCAGACTCCTGCGCAGCCAATACTCAAGCTGGTAATATTACCACATCTGGCACTTGTCCTTAAGACGAGCCAGTACTTTCACTGTGGTTAGAGATGAGGGCATTGCTGGGTTTGAAGCTCAGCTCTGTGTGCCTGTCCCTGGATGAGTTCCCTAACTTTTCTGAGCCTTTTTGTCTCACCAGGGAAATGGGCCCAAGGACCCACAGGTGTTGTGAAGGCATGGGATGACATCTCTGGAGCACCCAGCGCTTGGCAGGAGTAAAGTGCTTCATAACAGGAAGTGGTTTCAATACTGCTCAATTTTCATCACACTTGACTTTGCTAGTTCAAATACACTTCTGAATAGGAATTCACAAGCTATGGGAGGTGGAACTGCAGAGCACAAAGGAGGCAGTGAGCCATCTAAACATGCCTGCCAAGAACAAGTCTGCCACAACATGCAGCAAAACCCGGTTGCAACCGGACATGACAGCCAACAAAGTACCTAGGCCTCGTCTTGTCCCTAAGGGGAGGCCCTCGCACGTGTGTACAACCAGCCCTCGTGGGAGCCCTCCACGCAGCCAGATTCTGACAGTGCACGTTTCTCCATCCGCGTTCCCTGGAAGCACCGTATGCCACAATAGCTCAACCTGAGGCCAACCTGAGCACCCTGAAATGTCCTGCTGCCTTCACACTGCTGAAAATACCTGGAGACAAGCCTGAAGCGTTCATCTCAGGACGAAAAACAGGTCTGCACGGCCAAGGCTACCCAACAACCACAGCCTCCTCTGTACCCACACATGTCAGCAAGCCTGACTGACCGTATCCTCCAGTCGGCCAGCTGGTACTGCTTGTCTGATTCCACGCTGCAATAGAGTTTCAACAGGTGGTCCAGGGAGTGCCTGCCCAGGTTCAGAAGGCGCGCTGCCTGGTGAGTGTCAAACATATTCACCACGTACAACCCAAAGTCTTTCTGGAGCCATTCTATGTCTGAGTCAGCACCATGGAAGACCTGAAAACCAAACCAGGGTCCTGGGATCACGACACTTTGGATTTGAAATTCACTGCTCCTTTAAGTTACCAGAACATTGAAATCAGACACCTGCATGAAGAATAAAAAGTGTAGTTCTAAAAATATATATATATTTTTAAAGAAAGGCAGTGTTACAGAGAGAAGGAAGGGGAGAAGCAGAGATTTTCCACGTGCTGACGCAGTCTCCCAATGGCCCCGACCGCCGGGGCTGGGCCAGGCTGATGTCACACTGTGTGCGTGTGTGGCTCAAGCACTTGGGGCATCTTTCCCTGCCCATGTTTCTGGGCACTTGGGCAGGGACCTGGATCAGAAGTGCAGCAGCTAGGACTCACATCAGTGCCTGCACGAGGCACCAGTGTTACAGGTAGGTTAAGCTGCTGGTTATCATGCTGGCATCCCACACTACTGCTGTTTCCAATCTAGCTCCTTGCTAATTCTCCTGGGACCACAGAAGTCCTGCCACCCATGTGGGTGGAAGACCAGGACGGAGTTCATGGTTCCTGGGTTTGGCCTGGCCCAAGCCTGGCTGTTGCAGCCGTTTGAGGAGTGAAACAGAGAGGGAAGATCTATTTCTCTGTCTTTTCCTAATTCTCTAGAAACTCCACTGCTCTATAATTCTTGCTTTCAAATAAATGAACTAAATAATTTTTAAAATTCACTTTAGGGCCCAGCGTGATGGCGCAGTGGTTAAGGTCCTCGCCTTGCATGCCCGGGATCCCATATGGGCTCCGGTTCTAATCCCGGCAGCCCCGCTTCCCTTCCAGCTCCCTGCCTGTGGCCCGGGAAAGCAGTCGAGGATGGCCCAAAGCTTTGGGACCCTGCACCCCGTGTGGGAGACCCAGAGGAGGCTCCTGGCTTCGGATCGGCATAGCATCGGCCGTTGCGCTCACTTGGGGAGTGAATTATCGGACGGAAGATCTTCCTCCCTGTTTCTCCTCTCTATATCTGCCTTTCAAATAAAATAAATCTTTAAAAAAAAATTCATTTTAAAAGGAGAGAGAGAGAATGAGAGAGAAAGAGACAGGACAGAGATCTGCCACCCCCTAGTTCTCTCCCTGTGTGCCCTCAAAGCCTGGGCTGGGCCAGACCAAAGCCAGAAGCTGTAAGTTCAGTGAAGGTGTCCTCTGTGGGTGGCAGGGACCCAAGCACTCTTGCTGCCTCCCAGGGTGTGGGACTTTAGCCACTAGGCCACTGCACGGAGCCCCAAAAAAGTCCTCTTGAAGTCTGCACTCCCAGGCACGGGTTGGGCAAGGCTGGCTGACCTTCACAATGGCAGGGTTGGTGAGGCTCTCGTTGAGAATGTACATTTCGCTCCGCAGCTCGAGGGTGTCGATGATGAAGTCTTCCGTGCGCGTGGAGATTTGCATGAGGCAGGTGAGCCCCAGGAAGCTCCTGTAAGAGTGGTGCTGGGACACACAAGGGACAGTCGGCAAAGACAACCACTTCAGGCTGAAGAGTAAACTTACAGGAGTATTCATCACTTAGCAAACCATGGGTGGAAATGATTACTCAACTCAGAAAACTAAAAAAAAAAAAAAAAATTCCTCGCAAGGCCAGTGCAAGATACCTCTAAGTCCACAGCAAACTCTTGACAGTTGGCAAGCTTTTCGTTGAGCTCCACAAGCTTCTCCAGTGAGGTTATGAACTGGCAAGGGGTCTCGTCCAGCGGCCTGGACATCTAGGTCAGGAAAGCACAGCAAACACAGGGAAGAGTACTGAGGACCTTTCCCACCCAAGCACAAAGCCAATCACATGGTCAGGATGTCTGCGACCCACGGGCGACACTAAGGAAAGTCTAAATCACCTGATTCTGTCAGGACTACCAAGACATTTGCCCTAAGGCTGGCACCAACCTGGGGTTGTGGCTTTTGAAGCACTGAGTCTGGTGGAGTAAAGTGATCCAATTCATACTGGTAAGGATGTGCAAACCTGGGCAAATAAACCAAAATGAAAAACCTTACTGATAAATTGCTGATGATTGAAAAGAAAAATGGCTTTGGGCCCAGCATGGTTACTAGCGGCTAAAGTCCTTGCCTTATATCTGGCAGGAATCCACATGGGCTCCAGTGCCTTATATCTGCCTTTCCAAAAATAAAACAAAACTGGTTTTGATGCAGTTTATAAAAGCAAGAGAAAAAGACCATAATGAAAATACCTTCCCTTTATAAAGTGTACCAAATAAACTAGATGATCCCTGTTCACATTAAAAAAAAAAAAAAAAAAAAAAAAAAAAAGATTTTCCTTTGGTTTACTTTCCGAATGGCTGCCCAGGCCACAGCTGAATCAGGATGAAGCCAGGAGACCATCTGGGTGTGCCATGTGGGCAGCAGTAGCAGGGGCCTAAGCATGTAGGTCATCTTGCACTGCTTTCCCAGGCACAGGAGCAGTCAGGACAAGAACAGGCCCCATACTGGTGCTGCAGTTGAGGATTTAGCCCAGTATACCACAATATGGGCCCTTTGCTCACATTAAAATTCAATCAACTACATTATTTCTTCAGAAGAGCTAGATACTCAAGCAGTTTTTAAATTTTTATTTTAAAAAATCATTTGAAAGCCCAGCACCATGGCCAAACAGCTCAAGTCCTTGCCTTGCACACACCGGGATCCCATGTGGGCGCCGGTTCTAATCCTGGCAGCCCCCCTAACTCCCTAACTGTCAGAGCTGAACCCAGGTCTTTCCCATGGGCAGCAGGGATCCAGGTACTCAAGCCTTCCCAAGGTTGTGCAAGAGCAGGAACCTGGAGTCCAGAATGCAGCTGCCACTTGACCCAGGCACTTGCATCTTAACTGTGCGAGCACCTCCACCTCCACTTGTGCTCCTTCTTCTGTAAAACAGGACTTGGCCTGCTGGCCCAGGAGCACACGGGAGCTGCTAGCACTCAGACTCGTGAGCAGCTCAGGCGAAAGCCACCGACTCTTCAGATTCCTTTCCATCTCGTACACAGTCTACAAAGGGGAAACAAGGAAGGCGCAGCAGCAAAAAAGCAAGTACTCACAAGACAGAGCTCAGGCAGAAACACTTACATGTCCTGCTCAACCTGCTGGGTTCTCTGTTGATGGATAAAGTCGGCCAGGGCAGGAGGGACGTCCAAGTCCTCGGGACGATCCTGCGGGCGCTCTCGCCTCTCCTTAGAGAGGGCTGCAGACCCAAGCAGTGACAGACACAGCATCACCACAGGGAAACACCCTCACTCCCCTCTGGCTAGGAAGGCTCTGTCTGGCTCCATCAGCACCCTCCTCACAGGGGAAGGACGCCCCCTTCCCCACAGCCCAGCAAAGCTTGGAGCTACCTACCCTGTGGAAGGGGTTTCTGGGCGTTGGGCTTGATGAAAATTTTAGGGAGAAATGGGGTGTTGGAATTGTCGATCTTCTCTCGAAACTTGAGCTGAGGTCGGATGATGTTTTTTGCGTGAAGCAGCCTGAAAGTCTCTGATTTTGCTTTCTTGCCATACTCTGCTGCCTAGGACCAACACATGCAAACACTCTGTAGCCCACAACTTCATGGACCGGACAATTTCATTCCAACTGGTTTGTTCCAAGGAGGCAAAACATTGCAAAAACCATTCACAGAATGTTTGGAGACCCCTTTAGTTTTACGGAGCTGCCTAGCTTGCCTTATAGCTAGATAAGCTGTTACACAGCTGGGAGAAAAGCAGCCAATAGCTGGCAGCCATTCTGGGTCTGGCTAATATCTAATCTGTGTTAACTATGGCATGTGACAGCACAGTAGCCTATTTTTTTTTTTTTTTAAAGATATGTGGGAAAGGTTGGGAATGAGGGTCGGGACATGTTACCCTAGCCACTCCAGGGAGGGATGGAGGGGAGAGGGTGCATCTGTTTGGACTGGGAGCAGCTGGGAGGACATGACAGGGAGGAATGACTTCTGGGGGTTCCACAGACCCAGCCACCGCATTCACAGGTAAGCAGGAGCTGAAATCAGGTAACAAAGAGGGGAACTGAAGGGCATGTCTGGGTCAGAACAAGGCACCCATTCATGTGGGAGACCTGGGCTACATTAAATATCACTGCCTGTTGCCTGCTGGTGCATGCAAAAACAGGGGCTGGGGAGCATGCCTGGCGGGCTAGGCTGCAGTACTTGCCCATGAGTGTTGGATTGGGGATGAGTCATGTCAGGCTGGGATGTAGCACCCACTAGAACACAAGAACTGCATATTCTGTGCAGGACTTGTTTGTTTGCCTTTGCAGGACTACAGTTCCCGGATGTTTGCGTGAGAGCTGGGGGTAGTGACCAGCTAAGCCATACTGGGCTGTGGAATTTGCTTGATAATCACCGGAGATGCAAAGGCTAGGGCTGAGGGCAGAACATGCAAGGCTGGGCCAGGCTGTAGTACCCACTGGCATACACAAAGGCTAGGACTGAGGGCAGAGCATGCCAGGCAGGGCTGTGACATGCACTGGCATATATGAGATCAAGGGCTGGGAGTGGGACTGTCAGGGGAACTCTCCTGCTAGGCGAGGCTGTATCTCCCACTGATGAGTCCAAGAGCTGGGGCTGTGGGCAGTTGGTACAGGGTGAGGTCAGTCCACAGCACACACTGGCACAAGTGAGAGTTATGAAAAGGTATAGGATAGGTCTGGTTGCACCACAACACCAGCCAGTTCACATGAGGGCTGGGGGTAAACCAGACTGGGCTAGGCTGCTTCATCCACCAGTGACAACTGGGATGGTCACAGGCAATCTGACTCCTTGCCACCCCAACTAGTCTTGCCAGAGTGTACGAGGCCTGGAATTGGGTGCAGGCCTGGAAGGAAGTTTAGGGAAAATCCTTTGCCGGCTCATTGCTTCCCCACTGAGCGTGAGAGCTAGGACTGGGTGCGTGCATGTCTTAGCAAGGCTGCAGCACCTGTCAGCTGGCTTGTGGGTCGGAACCGAGGGCAGGCCGGGCTGGGCTAGGTTACAACACCTGCTGGCAAGTGCTGGGACTGGGTGTGAGTCACGTCGAACTGGAGTGCCGTACCTCCCTGGCAGGTGCAAGATAAAGGTCTGGGCTGGGCGGGGGGGCCGGCGCGGTGGCGCAGTGGCTAAGGTCCTCGCCTTGCACACCCGGGATCCCATATGGGCGCCAGTTCTATCCCGGCAACCCCGCTTCCCTTCCAGCTCCCTGCCTGTGGCCCAGGAAGGCAGTTGAGGACGGCCCAAAGCTTTGGGACCCTGCACCTGCGTGGGAGACCCAGAAGAGGCTCCTGGCTTTGGATTGGCATAGCATCGGCCGTTGCGCTCACTTGGGGAGTGAATCATTGGACGGAAGATCTTCCTCTGTCTCTCCTCTCTGTATATCCGCCTTTCCAATAAAAAAATAATAAAAATAAATCTTTAAAAAAAGATAAGGGGCTGGGGAACAGGCCTGGTAGGGAAAGTGTGGACACGCTCCTGCTGGTAAGCATGAGAACTAGGGCTGGGGGTGGCTACACTGGCCATGGTGGTAGCACCCATCCACATATAATTGCGACAGGTCACGGGTTGAGCTAAGCTGCAGCACCCATGGATGTAGTACCCACGAGAGCCAGATGGAATGCAGGTCTTGCCATACTAGGGTGCAGCACATGCCAGCCCTGGGGGCAGGCTGGGTGGGGGTTATTTAACGTTACCCCAACTAGGCCGTGGCACCTGCTGGTATGCGGGAAGACCAGGCTATGGTAGGCTGGGCTAGGCTAGGTTGCAGCACTCATCAATTCACATCAGTGATGGGGCTGGGGACAGAACTGACCAGGCAGCTGCACCCACTGGTATGTGCACTGGTTGGTACAGGTGATAGACCAAACCTGTCCTGCACTGGCTGAGATACACAAGAGTCAAGTCGGAGGTCACCTCAGAAGTGGCTTCTTGGGGGATCCCCCAGTTAGACTGCTGAACTTAAACCCAAACCACTGGAAAAATCACAGGATTAGTGGAGTATATGTGTTAGGACTAGGCCTCCTCAGTTGCTGATGCCTGTGTAGCGGACAGCATGCTCACATGCACACACAAGACAAGACAGTCAGCTCAGCGAGGCTGACAGGGAACGTCGACTCCCTTGTTAGAGGATGGAAAGCAGAACAGGTTGGACCATTCTCACAGCCAAACTCTGCAGTAAGTGTCTGGGTCTGTGGATGTACTAAGGTGGACCTGGTCAGCCAACTGGAAAGGTTTTCTCAACCCTGGTGCAATGAGGCTGACAATGTCTCAGAACTATTAAAACCACTCAAAGAAACCCCTTTGGAACACTGTTTCCCACACTGGGCGCTCTACGGCCTCATCAGGCGACTGTCCCACTCCTGGGTGCAGGTATAATTGGACAGCAAGGAGCAGTGCCCTCCCTTCGCCCCACTGCAGATACAGAAAAACAAAAATAAACAAATAAACAAAGCTGAAACATGTGTCTCAGCCAATTTACTCCATACCTAATCAGAGACCAACATGCGTATGTACCTCTTTCAACTATGTATATAATACTAAAAATTTAAAAAAAATAATAAAATCAATAAAACAAATCTTAAAAAGGGACTAAATCAATGTTGGTATACATATGGGTGCCAGTACAAGTCCTGGCTGTTCCATTTAGGATCCTGTTCCCTACAAATACACTTGGGCAAGTAGTGGATGATAGCCCTAGAGCTTGGGCCCCTGCAACCTATGCAAAACCCAAATGAAGTTCCTCGTTTGGCCTGGACCAGTCCTGGCTGCTGTGACCATTTGGGAAGAAAAACAGCAGATGGAAGATTCTCCTGTTCTCTATAATTTCACCTCGCAATAAAATAAATCTTGGAAAAAAGAAAGGAAGGAAGGAAGGCAGGCAGGCAGGAAGGAAGGAAGGAAGGAGGGAAGATGTCTGTTTGAAAGCGGTGGGTACAAAGTGAAGAGGGCACAACTGGGTTGTGTGTGTTTATAAGACCTAGAGAGGCAGGGGCAGTCCTATGGCCAGTAGCTGGGACAGGAATACAAATATAGCTGCCCCCTCAGTATCTGGCTTGAAAATATGCAGTGTGTTGGTGCCCGTCATGTGTTGTCTTGCCGCCAGTGCTGTGGACACCCAGGCCCACTCATGCCCACCACAGTCTCGAACACTGAGGAGCCGGCCTCTAGCCGCCCTGCTCGTCCACCCTTAAGTGCTGTGTTTGATGATGAATTGCAGTTGTCATTTCTCTCTACTGAATATTATTTATAAAGATTTGGCCTGTTCAAAAACAAAACAAAATGAAATACAAACATGAATGGGCAAAAGCCCATCCGCAGAGCTGACAGGAAGAGCCTCAGGTAATCCTGAAATGGGGCCTTACCTTCCGGTTCCAGCTGGACACGATGGTTTTGGGGACCTGCAGCCCAGCAGGAAGGACAGGCTGCTGATTCTTATTCACACCTGATGCTTCATCCAGTAAAATTCCCTAAGAATAGACAAGGTATGAATTCAACAGCTGCTTCCCAAGGATAATACAGTTTACTCCCTAACTATTTAAAGAAACAAAGAGAATTATCCATCAGAATAGATTATTCAATGAGCTTATCAAACTATCATGTGTTGTCTCTTTTCTCCACTGTCTTTTTTTTTTTTAAAGATTTATTTTTTAAATTTTTATTGGAAAGGCGGATATACAGAGAGACAGAGAGGAAGATCTTCTGTCTGATGATTCACTCCCTAAGTGAGCCCAACAGCCGATGCTATGCCGATCCGAAGCCAGGTGACTCTTCCGGGTCTCCCACGCAGGGGTGCAGGGTCCCAAAGCCTTGGGCCGTCCTCAACTGCTTTCCTGGGCCACAGTCAGGGAGCTGGAAGGGAAGCGGGGCTGCCGGGATTAGAACCGGCATCCATATGGAATCCCGGGCGGGCAAGGTGAGGACCTTAACCACTTACATCACCGTGCCGGGCCCACCACTGTCTTTTTAAGTAGATGAAAATAAGTAAATAAATTAAAATGAACTTTCAAAGGGCAGGGACATTTGAAATAAAATAGTTGTGGGCCCGGTGCAATGGCCTAGTGGCTAAAGTCCTCGCCTTGAACATGCCGGGATCCCATATGGGCTCCGGTTCTAATCCTGGCAGCTCTACTTCCCATCCAGCTCCCTGCTTGTCACCTGGGAAAGCAGTTGAGGACAGCCCAAAGCCTTGGGACCCTGCACCCTCGTGGGAGACCTGGAAGAGGCTCCTGGTTCCCAGTTTTGGATTGGTGCAGCATTGGCCAATGCGGTCACTTGGGGAGTGAACCATCGGACGGAAGCTCTTCCTCTCTGTCTCTCCTCCTCTCTGTATATCTGACTTTGCAATAAAAATAAATAAATCTTAAAAGCTAAAAGAAAAGAAAATAGTTGTTACTTCAGAGTCCGTACGCAGGATCAGTAGGGAAGGGCATCCCTGGTGAGACTGCCACACTTTGTTTGCATCTTCGAGGGGCTAGAGCTGCTACTTCTACGTTAAGAATACAGATGTCTCTTTATTTGTCAGTTATCTTGAAATCAAGGGGAGCAACTCACCACTCTCTCCAGAATGACATCATTGGTATCGACCAGTAAGTCAAACTTATCTTCCAGCTCAGTCACTTTACTCCGATCCTTGATGTTGCTGCGACACCCATGGTACTGCATTATTCTACTCATGCTGGGGGAAAAGGACACAAAGTTAGCCCGTGTACATCTATTTATTTACAATCTAGGAGAATGCTCAAGTGCCTCAGTCTAGTATTTTTTTTTAAAGATTGATTTATTTTTTATTGGAAAGGCAGATTTTAGAGAGAGAAAGAGAGACAGGTCTTCCATCCACTGGTTCACTCTCCAAGTGGCCGCAACAGCCAGAGCTGAGCTGATCCAAATCCAAAGGCAGAAGCCTCTTCCAGGTCTCCCAAATGGGTGCAGAGTCCCAGGGCTTTGGGCCATCCTCTACTGCTTTCCCAGGCCGCAAGCAGGGAGCTGGACGGGAAGTGGGAGCATCTGGGAAATGAACTGGCACATGAAAGGTGAGATCTTTAGCCACTAGACCATTGTGCCAGGCACAGATCAGATTATTCTTAACTTTTTAATCAAACTAGTAGAATATGTATACTTTAGCACAAGCTTTAAAAAGCTATGGGCCTGGCACGATAGCATAACGGTTAAGGTCGGTCCTCTCCATGGACGCACAGGGATCCCATGTGGGCGCTGGTTCTAATCCCAGCAGCTCCACTTCCCATCCAGTTCCCTGCTTGTGGCCTGGAAAGCAGTCGAGGACCACTTGGGAAGTGAATCATTGGACGGAAGATCTTCTCTGCCTCTCTTCCTCTGTACATCTGCCTTTCCAATAAAATAAATAAATCTTAAAAAAAAAAAAATACTGAGACATGTGTAGCTGTGGGCAATTCATCAATTCTTATTAAGACTCACTTCTCTCAGCTATTAACTGAAAGGTAGGTGAAATTACTTGAAAGCTTCTTTAAATTCTAAAAACATGACACTATGTAAATAATGTAAACTGCATTAATTGTTTAACGTGATAAATTTAAATTTAATAGTTTCTCTAACTCTGTCACAAAAAAAAATCAACGTTTACTTTTTATGTTTCCCAACATATTCATTAGAAAGTATGTGGGGCCAGTGTGGCGGTACAGCCACAAATCCTCTCTTTTTTTTTTTTTTTTTTAAAGATTTATTTTTATTATTTTTTCATTGGAAAGGCGGATATACAGAGAGGAGAGACAGAGAGGAAGATCTTCCGTCCGATGATTCACTCCCCAAGTGAGCGCAACGGGCCGATACTATGCCGATCCGAAGCCAGGAGCCTCTTCTGGGTCTCCCACGCGGGTGCAGGTTCCCAAAGCTTTGGGCCGTCCTCGACTGCTTTCCCAGGCCACAGGCAGGGAGCTGGAAGGGAAGCGGGGCCGCCGGGATTAGAACCGGCGCCCATATGGGATCCCGGGCGTGCAAGGCGAGGACCTTTAACCACTTGCGCCACCGCTCCGGGCCCCACAAATCCTCTCTTATGAGCACAGGTTCTAGTCCCGGCCGCTCCATTTCTGATCTGGCTTCCTGTTGATGGCCTGGGAAAGCAGCTCAGATGACCCAGAGTCTGGAGCCCTGGAATCCACATGGGAGACCTGGAGGAGGCTCCTGTCTCCAGATCCAGATCAGCCCAGCTCTGGCTGCTTTGGTTAACGGATGGAAGATTTCTCTGGTTCTCTCTCTAACTCTGACTTTCAAATAAAGTACATAAATATTTAAATAGAAATAAAGAATCTGTGACTTTACAATTCACTTGACAGAATACTGGATCTAAGTTTCCAAGTCTCATATTAATTCCAAGAGATTTCTTGCGGCCGGCACTGTGGCACAATAGGACAGAACATTCAGTGCAACACCAGTGTCCCAAATGAATACTGCACAAACCCCAATCTCTCCACTTCCCATCCAACTCCCTGATAATGCGTCTGGGAAAGCAGTGGAAGAGAGCTCAACTCTTTGGGCCCTGAGCCCATGTGGGAGAGAGATCCAAATGGAATTGCAGGCTGTTTGGTTTCAGCTTGGCCCAGTCCTGGCTGGTGCATCACTTGGGGAATGAACTTAAGTATGTCTTTAAAAAATTTAGTGTCAGGCCCGGCATGGTAGCATAGTGGCTAAAGTTCTCACCTTGCAGGTGCAGATTCCACATGGGTGTTGGTTCATGTTCTAGAAGCCCCACTTCCCATCCAGCTCCCTGTTTATGCCTGGGAAAGCAATCGATGATGGCCCAAAGCCTTGGGACCATGCATCCACGTGGGAGACCACGTAGAGGCTCCTGGTTTTGGATTGGCTCAGTTCTGACCATTACAGCCACCTGGCCAGTGAATCAGCAGATGGAAGATCTTTCTGTCTCTCCTTCTCTGTGTATATCTGACTTTCCAATAAAAATAAATAAATCTTAAAAAAAAATTCAGTGTTTATGGGATCAGCCCAGATCTGGCCGGTGTTGCCATTTGGGGTGTGAACCAGTGGATGGAAGTTTTTTCTCTCTCTCACTGTTAAGTCTGACTTTCAAGTAAAGTAATAAATATTGAAACTGAAAAAAATACATATAGTCTTATATATACATTCTGCATATATCTTTTTTCCCCCCAAAAAAAAATATTTATTTGAAAGGCAGAGTGACAGAAAGGGAAAGATACAGATCTTACATTTATTGTTCACTTATCAAATGGTTTCAATGGCCAGGCAAGTGCCAAGCTGAAATCAAGAGCCTAGAACTCCATCTTGGTCTCCCTCAGGGGTGGCAGGGGCCCTAGCACTTGGACTGCTTCTACAGCCTTGCAGACATATCAGCAGGAAGCCAGATTAGAAGCACAGCAGCTGGGTCTGGCACAGTAGCCTAGTGGCTGAATCCTTGCCTTCATCTGCCAGGATCCCATATGGGTGCTGGTTCGTGTCCTGGCTGCTCTACTTCCCATCCAGCTCCCTGCTGATGTCCTGGGAAAGCAGTTGAGGATGACCCAAAGCCTTGGGAACCTGCACCCACATGGTAAACCCAGCAGAAGCTCCTGGCTCCTGGTTGCGGATCAGCTCAGCTCTCATCATTGCGTCTGCTTAGATAGTAAGTCAGCAGATGGCAGATCTTTCTTTCTGTTTCTCCTTCTCTCTGTAAATCTGCTTTAAGAAAATAAAAAAACGCAGAGGAGCTGGGAGTTGAACCAGCATTCCATACAGGATGCTAGAATCGAAAAATGGCACCTTAATCCATTCTGCCATAAAGCCAAACCTACTCAATAATTTAAAATAAATGAAGAAGAAATTTACCAAGTAATATCTCCCAAAGCAAAATCCATTGCCTTATTATATCTCTTTATAGCAAAACAACTATAATTAAAGAAAATTTTCTGAACAATGTCTTCCTCTTTAATTTCTTATGTTAACATGCACACAGTACGTACCACTGAAGTAAGCGGTCTCCCTGTGTCTCACAGAAAGCCTGGAAGCCAGGAAAACTTCGATAAAAGTCGTACTCATCGCCGGACTGTGGGAGGCCCCCAGACGCCTTGGTGACAGCCACCACCGATGCGAGCGCAAACTGTCCAACCCAGAAGAGACCATCGTTAATCACAGATGTCCATTCACTCAGCAAATCGTTTTCAAAGCATCTTCTCTAACCACGCACCCAGCAGACATTCAGCGTAACTTTACCCAAGCCATATTTGAGACCCCAAAAATAAAATGAACACAGAACCAAATTCACTCTTACTTGTTTGATAGGCAGTTACAGGGAGGGAGTGACAAACCTTTACTTGCTGGTTCTCTCTCCAGATGGCTGTAGTGGCTGTTACTAGGCCAGGCCAAAGCCGGGAACCAGACACAGAGGCCCATGCACAAGAGCCAGGTACATTAGCAGGGAGCTGGATAGGAAGTGGAGCAGCAGGGATTTGAACTGGTGCTCCTAAGGGATGGCTGTGTCACAGGTGGCAGCTTAACCTGTTCTGCCACAATGCCAACCCCAAAGCTTACATTCTTGGGAGACAGGTCAGAAGGAACAAATGTGTCACTATGACTAGGATCAAGAGTCTGGGTTCGAATCTTGGTTCTGCTACTGACTGTGATCTTCAGCAAGGTACTTACGCTGACCTTAGTGTCCTGCTGGTAAACTGACTCAATAAAACGTGACTATGCCACGGAGTTGTGAGCACTGACCCAGGACCTGGCACGAACGTGCTACTGCTAATACCACTCAGGCACAGCAAGGGGAGCTTTCTACAGGAGTTTATCATTTTTTTGTTGTTGTTGATTTAATCTTGATACACATCTGAAAACAATATATAGGTTGACTAGTACCCACAACTGAATGGTGTCTACAGTTGTTGGTGCCAAGTAGGTTATTATCATAATTCGAGAAGGAGGCGGAGCATATGGCATTCTCACTTGTTGGTTCATTCCCCAAATGCTCTTCAACTGGAAGAAACCTGGTCCAGGACTCCCATGACGATGGGAGGAGGGAGCCCAGCTACCTGAGCCGTCACCACTGCAGCCAGGTCTGCACTGGCTGGACGCTGGACTCAGGAGCTCAGACTTGTGGGGGACCCAGTTACCTAATGTGCCCACCTAACAAGTATCTCAACTGCTAGGCTTGGCACCTGTCCCTGGTTCTCTACTTCAATATCTTTTCCAATGTCTGCATGTTCATGTACTTGTTATCACTCAGTTGGAAGGTAGAGCAACAAAGGGAGAGAGAGGTATTCCCCCAAATGCCTGCGTGAGGTCACAGCCAGGCTCCATCGGGTTCCAACCGGGTCCATCCAGGTCTCACACATGGGTGACAGGGACCCAAGCACTGAGCCATCAGCTGCCGTGTCCCAGGTGGCAGGAGCAGAGAACTGGATGGGCAGTGGTGGTGTTAGGACTCCTGGTAGCCTGCAACATAGCACCCGGGCCACACAGGCAGCCCATCTAACTGCTGCAGTGACAAACACCTGTCCTAAATAGGTGACGCTCCCCCACGACAGCCCAAACACTACCGTGAACTGTGTGAATAAACAGTTCGCAAGAGAAAAACGAGAACCGGGAGATTGAAAATCCAGTCCTGGCAGGGGACACGGCAGCTTGAAAAGCAAGCAGGCCACCTGTCAGGACTGCAGCTCACGGGGCAGGAAGTAGCGAGGACCAAAATAAACAGCATGAGGACTACGGGGAGCGGAACCTGCGGAGGTTGGGGAAAGAGTTATTGCAACTTAAGGTCTTGGTGAGAGCTGGGCCGAGCTGGAACCCGGTTTCCCGTTCGTGCACCGGCTGAGTTCCGAGATCCTTCCAACGCGCTGCCGCCTCGAGGGGAGCAGGGCCATCTCCCCCAGATCCTGGGGAGAAGCGGACTCGGGCACGGGAGCCTTCCCGGGCTCGGGGATCGGCGACCCGGCCCGGGATCGTCTGCCAGGACCGAATCCAGGAAGCCGGGCGTCTCCTCGGAGTTGGCCTCGGGCCCCCTCGGAGCACCCATGCCCGGGCTGTGCGGCGCCGAGCGGCGGCCCTAAGCTCCCGCGCACTCACCTTCACGAAGCTGTCTGCGTCCGGGAAGCCGGGCAGCACCATCTCCTCAGACGCGCCTGTCGCCGACGGCACCTTGGGCTCCCGGGGACTGGGAGGCGCCATGTTGCGACCCGCGAGGATCTTCTCGCGAGAGTGTCTGCCGACGCGACGCGCGCGCACGACGCATGTGCAAAGGCTGCCATCCCGCGGGAGGCGGTAGTGGTGGCGGGAGCTCCCGCCTGTCGCATCGGGGCACCTGGGAAAGGCCTCTTACTATTACCGTGAGCTAGGATGGGCCCGGAACCCCTTGCAGTACTACTCCGCCCAAATTGGGGTTCCACGTTCCGTCGCCTGCAACGTCTCTTTTGGGGTTCGTTCCTAGCAGCCCACTCGTTCACGGACATCGCTCCCAAAACTGAAGGGCGGGGAGACCGCACTCACCCTATCCACCTCAGGGCTCGCCTTGCCCTCCGCAGGGGAACTGGACAGGGCCTCCATGCTTTCTGCACTCCTTCCATCTGGCGGGCAGGCTGCCCCGCCCCGCATCCCGAATGCCTGCTACAGCGGGAAGCAGGGTGGACTCAGGGCAGGATTGCTGGGTGCAGCCTGTCCCCAGAACCTGACGTGGCACAACTCACTAAGCTGAAGTGTTATGTTGGGATCTGAATGTTGGCTATTACCCTGTTCATAACAGGATAGTTGGCTGATTTATTTATTTATTTGACAGAATTAGAGGTAAGAAGAGAGCTTCCATCTGCTTCTTCCCTCTGTAAATAGTTGTGTTTGTGCCGGATTTCTGAGATCCCCAGAAAATCATCGAGTCTGAAGTCGGTGCTAGAGCATAAAGGGCAGTTTATTCAGGTTAGCCTAGGTCTCCCAGCCACCTGCCCCAGCCCAGCAGGGCTGGAGGGGAAGGGGCCGCTGCAGCCGAGGCTGCTGCAGGAACAGCAGGGCAGGAAAAGCCAGAGAGAGCCCAGGTTGAACAGCACAGTGGTTCTTATACATCTCAGGCCATTAATTAGACAGTCATGATTTAGCAGGCTTCTGTTGGTGGGTCTGAAGCAAGCAACTTTCAAAAAGTACAAATCGATGAGCTATAGGGTAGGGGGTCTACCAAACACCAGGTACTTCTTCCTGAGGAGTGGTCTGCCTATGTGACCTGCCAGGTGTCCTGCCGGGTGTCACGTAGACTGTCAGGCCTGGAGTTCACACAGCCCCCAGCCAAGCAATTAAGGCAGAAATCACAAAAGCAGAAAACACCTAGGTTCTTCAGTTGCAAGGACTGGAACTGGACCCTCTGAATCCAGAAGCCAGGAGCCTGCTCTGGGTCTCCCACGTGGGTGCAGGGGCCCAAGGATTTGGTCTATCTCCTGTTGCTTTCCCAGGCACATCAGCAAAGAGCTGGATGGGAAGTAGAACAGCTGGGACTGGAACTGGTGCCCACAGAACATGCCGCCGTCTACCTGCTATCCCACTGCCTCAGGATATGCGGGTTTTTTTTTTTTCCAAGACTTATTTTTATTGGAAAGGCAGATATACAGAGAGGAGAGGCCGAGGGGAAGACCCTCCGATGGTTCACTCCCCAGTGACCGCAATGGCCGGTACTCGCCGACTCAAAGCCAGGAGACAGGAGCTCTTCTAGGTCTCCCACTTGGGTGCAGGGTCCCAAGGGTTTGGGCCATCCCCCACTGCTTTCCCAGGCCACAAGCAGGGAGCTCGATGGGAAGTGGAGCTGCCGCTGGGATTAGAACCGGCGCCCATATGGGATCCTGGCGTGTGCAAGGCGAGGACTTTAACCACTTCGCTACGTGCTGGGCCCGATACTCAGCTTTTTACCTTTTCTTCTTGGTCGTTTACTTGAACACACAGTTACCCAGGTAGGGCCTACTTTTTTGTTTTGTTTTCAAGATTGATTTATTTGAAATGCCAGGTGACAGGGAGAAATACAGAAAGGGAGAGAGAGAGGTATGTATCTTCCATGTGCTGATTGACTGCAAGTGCCCACAGTGGCTACTTTGGGCCAGGTTAACGCCAGGGGGAACTCCTGCACATGGGCAACAGGACCCCAGACACCTGGCTGAGGTGCATTAGCAGGGGCGCGAGCCAGCGCTCTGAGGGTGACACCGGCAGTCCAGAACTACGCCTGCCGCCACGCATGCTGTCATCCGAGGGCACTGTGCCTGCATACTTGCCACCCCTCACTTCAGCCCCCGTCATGCTCAGTGTCCCCACTGCTCCCTGAAGACCTTTCCAACCTTCTCCTTGCCAGGCGACCTTCCCAGCACCTCTCTGGCTCATGTGGGGCTCTCCTGGCCTGGGGGCAGGGCCCCAGCTAAGCGTGCACTGTCAGCACTTGGCTGGCCCGGAAAGTCCTTGTGTCCCCAAGTGCTAACTGCTAATAAAAGGGGAATGTGGAAGGAACAAATGTACCCTTCGCACACTAATTATGAGCAAAAAGTCACTCAAATACTTTTTAAAATTCTGATGTCATTTATTGGCACAAAAATTATTCAGATACACAGGGTGTCTAGACATGGCTACACTGTATACTTTGTGCATTTAGTTGAATATTTATTTTGCTCATAATTCCCAACATATACTTGACCTCTCCTCTTTGTGACAGCAATTTTTGTTTCCCAAGCCGTTTCTTGGAGCCAGAGCAGTCGGATCAGTGTATGCATTCCAGCCCGGTGCTGGGAAGGCTAGTGGGGGGCCATCCTGCCATGCCATGGTTACCTCTGTGTGTCTGCTTAGCTCCGGCTGCCCATGGGTGGCTCCCATCTCGGATTGCAGTGTGTGAGCTGCAGCATCACTGGGCCAGGCAGGACACAGATCTTGCACACCCAACTTGCCCATCTTGTGAACAACACCTTTGCTGTCCCCACACCAGTGAGGTAATGGAGGGTGGAGGGGATGAAGTCGGTGTCGTCCACTGGTCCATGTCCTCCCTGACCTGAGGGGGCTGGGGGAGGGCGAGGCCATGTGTCCATTAGCAGGGGCGTGTGGTCCGTGCCTATGCTGGAGGAGGGCGAGGCTGTGCACCTGTCAGCAGGGGCGTGTGACCCGTGCCCGTGCTGGAGGAGGGCGAGGCCGCGCCTATCAGCAAGGGCGTGTGATCTATGCCTGTGCTGGGTGCTGGAGGAGGGCCAGGCCACGTGCCCATCAGCAAGGGCGTGTGATCCATGCCGTGCTGGAGGAGGCTGAGGCCGTGCCCATCAGCAGGGGCGTGTAGTCCGTGCCTGTGCTGGAGAAGGGCGAGGCTGCGCACCTGTCAGCAGGGGCGTGTGATCTGTGCCCATGCTGAGTGCTGGAGGAGGGCGAGCCCGTGCCTGTCAGCAGGTACATATGATGAGACCTCTTGTGAGTGAAGTAGAACCCGTATCTAATGTTAAGGATCTTGTGTTCCTCCGGATTAATGGCTCGCTTCACCCGGGCTTTCTGATCCACCGTCCTGGGGACCAAAGCAAGCCTGTGTTTCTGACAATTATTCTTCAACAGCAGCTAGAAAGTCGGTTCAGACCAACTTGGAATATACAGTAGTCTTTTCATTTACACTTGAACATATTTAACAAAGTCGAGCTTTCTGACTGGAGTTTCGGTATAGTGGACACATACACCAAAGAATGAAAGCCTTGGAGGAAATGTTGCAGGCACGTCTGAGCCTTCGCTTACCAGAAAGGACACCTAGGAAGGCAGGCAGAAAAGGAATATTTTAATAATGTGAGTTTCTTCAAAGCTTTACGCAGTCACCTTGACAAGGGCAAGACCGAGCTCTGACAGCCCAGGCACTCTGGGGGCTCATTCACAACTAATTGCATGGGACACACTGTCATCTCTGGCTCAGGTTGACACCCGCCTGTGCCCCACACACCCCACACGGGACACCTGCTGCTGCCTCTGGGCGTGCCTCCGACAGCTGATCAAAGCATACCCAGCTGGTCCTTGAGGCTAGGCTCTTAGGTCATAAATCTGTCTTTTCATCTCTCTGTCACTGCTCCGGCTTCTCTCACCTTGCCTCAATCTCAGAACTGGAGTGACAGCAAAAATGCAAAAAGGACCCCTCTCAGCCAGCCAAGCCCTGCCTCTCCCTCAAGCCATTCCTCTTGGCATGATTTTCATTTCTTTTAGTGTTTGCCTTCCAAATATGCACTCCTAGGCCTCTTACGACAGTGAGCACTCACGGTGAAGACAAATTTTTCTTGGCCACCTGGGCTGGGGCGTAGGGTGGGGCCTTGCCTGTCTGATGCTGCACAGCTGCTTTGACATGCCCACTTACCAGCCAATGTAGCACTGGCAGAGGTTTTCATGGGATGTGGCTTGCTTGATGAGCAGCTCAACTTGCGTTGGGACATCCAGAGTGTCGTCGTGTGAGAAGTCCCGACCTGGTGGGAGAGGCAGAAACCTCTGACTCTGTGCCTGGTTGCCAGTGCATCCCTTGTCCTGTGGCAAAGCGCTCCACGCAGCCCCATCAGCTCATCCTCTCGCCCAGGGATGAAAGGCACGCCACAGTTGGACGGAGTAACAGACTGCTTCTCCCAACCCAGACGTGCTCAAGAGGATGTTCAGGCATGCTCTGACACCCGGGCATTCCCCGAGCTCCTCCACCGCTAACAGCAGGGACACACCCGTCCCCTCCATCAAGGGGCTGAGTTCCTGTCCCACACCCGTCTCTCCGTGCACACCCAGCTCAGGCATTTCTGAACTGCTCTCCTACTTCTCCTTCTCACTTTGTGCTCTTTAGTCAGGCGGCCAGCTCACCACAGTTCTCAGGTGTCACCATCGACCTACAGCCACCCTTGACCTACATCTGCCCCCCTTCCCCATCCTCTTTCTTACTTTGCCTCTTGAAAATTTTTGAATTCATGGCCATCCCAAGTCTAATGAAGGGTCATGGCTTTCCTCTGCCCCGTCCTCCACCTGCCACAGCGGCATGAGGCAGAGTTTCCCAATGTCAGTCTAGACCCTAGATCTCTCTCCCTGCTCCACTGAGAACCCTTCTTGACTTCCTCCTGCCCTTAGGATGGGATGTAGGATACATATAAAGGTCCTATGTGATGGGGCTATGGCCTAGCCAGCCATTCTCAGGTGCTCCCCTTATTCTTAGGGCAGTAGGGCTGGCCTGCTTTGGGACCGTTTTTCTTGCCATTGCTGTCTGATACCATAGGCCTGGCCTGTATGTTCAGTCTGCCTTCAAGAACATCCTTTTCATACATTCCACTTGCAGAGTCTGGCACACAGGCTGCTTCCTTAGGGAAGCATTCTAAGCATCATGGCCTTGAATCTGTCTCATTACACACAGGGCTCCACCTGGGGGAGTCCAAGGCCATCATGATTTCCTAAGCATCCAACATGTGAGTGCCTAGCCAACACACACTGGCTACAAAGCTAAGCTGCTAGGCATGATGTCAGGCTGCAGCACCCTGTGCTGCCTCTGACCCTTGTTGCTTCAGAGGGAGGCACTATCGTGACTGCCAGACAGAGAACCAGGGGTTCCTAGGACAGGCTGTACTTGGGGGTGTGGGGTGCAGGATGGAGTCTCTGGCCTCTCCAGCTCCTACCCATTCTATCACTTTCTGGTCAGAAGACAGATGACTGACATATGATATCTCCTTTTAAAAAGTATATGTCTTAAAGGCCCGGTGCCGTGGCCTAGCATCCAGGTCCTTGCCTTGAACGTGCCGGTATTCCGTATGGGCACCGGTTCTAATCCCAGTAGCTGCACTTCCCATTCAGCTCCCTGATTGTGGCCTGGGAAAACAGTCGAGGACGGCCCAGGGCTCTGGGACCCTGCACCTGTGTGGGAGACCGGGAAGAAGTTCCTGGTTCCTGGCTTCGGATCGGCGCAGCACCGGCTGTTGCGCTCACTTGGGGAGTAAATCACCAGTTGGAAGATCTTCCTCTCTGTCTCTCCTCCTCTCTGTATGTCTGACTTTGTAATAAAAAATAAATAAATCTTAAAAAAAGTATATGTCTTGCGCCTGGCACAGTAGCCTACTGGTCTTGCATGCACTGGGATCCCATGTGGGTGCCAGCCCCACTTCCCACCCAACTCCCTGCTTGTGGCTTGGGAAAGCAGTTGAGGACGGCCCAAAGTCTTGGGACCCTGCAACCGCGTGGGAGACCCAGAAGAAGCTCCTGGCTCCTGGCTTCAGATCAGCTCAGCTCCAGCTGTTGTGGTGCCTGGTGAATGAATCAGTGGACAGAAGGTCTTCCTCTTTGTATATCTGACTTTCCAGTGAAAATAGATAAATCCTAAAAAAAAAATATGTTCCTCTCCCTGTCCTCTCTCTCCAGAGCGCAGAGAACTCACTAGCTGATGACTGCATAGAGAAAATGTGCACATATGCAATGGAATTAGCGTTCCACAAAAAAGGATGAAATCCTGCTGTTTGCAACAAAATGGATGCAACTGGAGACCCTCACATGTAGTGAAAATAAGACAAATGTCGTGTCTTCTTTGTGCTCATTTCTCTTCTGTACTCAGAGAGGACAAAGATGATTCAATGCATTTGAGTGAAGCTGACATCTCTGGACTCGCCTGCTGTGTACAGCCCTGCCCGTATTCCTGCTGGACAGCAGTCTTCCTGCTTTGTACTAGTGGAGCATTAAGCCTGTGACTAAAGTAAATTAAAAATGTTACTGCAAAAAAAAAGGGAGGGAGGAAGAGGGGACTGAGGGAAACATCACTGTACTCCAAGAATTGTATCTTTGTGATACCTGATACCTGTCTGTTCTCTTTAATAGTAATGAATTACTTCCAAAAGCCCCCAAAAGTATAGAGAGGTGAAATCAGAGTGGTGAGACTGGCTCTCGCGTCAAGTCAGGGTGACGGACACTCCCTTGGATGACTTTGGGCTCAACATAATTTCATTCAGCTCCTGAGTTAAAAGAGATTCCACAAACACTGTCTCATTGTTACTTGTGATCAGCTAGGAGACAATGAGGGTGTTTAGCTGACATCTCAGAGCTATGAGCTGCGCGAGGCCGAGGTGCAGCATCAGGACCTGGGCAGAATAGTTGCTTGGGAACGAGGTGCAGCTTCAAGTACCAGGGAAAGCAGATGCATGGGGCCAATGCTCAGCATCAGGACCCGGGCAGGACAGTCTCCTGCTTTATGATCAGGTTAACACACACACTCACCTGTGAGCTTATCGCGGACCCTGTTAATGATCTGAATAGCTTTCTTATTCAGGGCTTCTGGTTTCACCAAACCGTCTCCAACTAGAAGACACAAACGTCAAAATAACCGTAGAGAATCAGACTGCAGCAGACACAGTGGGAGCCGCTGTTTTCTCACTTGTGTAGATGTTGAGCAGTTCTTCCTCTGTGTCCAGCTTTGCCCTCGGGCTAGAACAAGGAATTCACGGAACCTTCTGTGCTCAGAGGCTGGCTTGCTGTTCCATCCCCGAGACCCCCTGTGACCAGTACAGCTGCTGCTCTCTCAAACAGCTACTCCCTGGTGCAACTCCACAGGGGAACTTACTGAAAGAGTGAATGGATTCTGGCACCGTGGTCCCCGTTTTCTTATGAGCTGGTTCTCCAAGTTCTACACCATCCAAAATTTCTAGGGGGAAAAAAATCAATTAATAGAAAATTTAAACACAAACAAGCCATAACTGGCATTAGCTTTCATTTTTTTTCTTTTTAAGATTATTTATTGTGACTGGCATTATGGCATAGTGGGTCAAGCCACTGCCTATGAAGTCAGCATCCCATATGAGTGCTAGTTCAAATCCTGGTGGCTCTACTTCCAGTCTTGCTCCTTGCTAATGTGCCTGGGAAAGAAGCAGAAGATGATCCAAGACCTTGGGCCCCTGCCATCCAAGTGGGAGACGCAGAAGCAGTTCCTGGTCCTGGCTTCAGCTTGGCCCAACAGCCACTTGGAGCGTGAATCACCAGACAGATTTCTTTCTGCTTCTGGAACTGTGTTTTACGAACAAATTAAATCTTAAAAAAAACCCCTGTATTTGTTTAGTTGTTTTTTTTTTAAAGATTTATTCATTTTTATTTGAAAGAGTTATAGAGTAGAAACAAAGAGAGGTATCTTCCATCTTCTGGTTCACTCTCCAAATGAACCTCAATGGCCAGAGATGAACCAATCCTAAGCCAGGAGCCAGGAGTTTCTTGAGTCCCCGGGTTCTAGTCCCTCCTCTGCTCTCAGTACCAGCTTCCTGCTAATGTGCCCCCGGGGAGGCAGCAGGTAATAGCTGAAGGATTTTTGGTGCCTGCCACGCATGTGGAGAGCTGGCATGGTGATTGTAGGTAGTTGGTATGAAAACGATGGATGGTATTTGTCTGATTTGTCTGATGTAAAATGAAACAATACAACAAGGAAATCAGCTTTGTTTCCTGCATATGTGGCAGCCATGGGAAGTCACAGCTCTTCAGGGCTGTGCTATAGCTCCTCCCACCCTAGAAACACTCTGGACAAAGGGGCTGTGACTGGCCCTGGCATGCACCTACCTACTGATTGGCCTGCCGAGTAGGAATCTGTTCGTGTCCGGGATCGCTTGTTGCCTTTGGTATTTGCTGGGGAAAGAAAAAGAGCGTTAAAGAGTTCTTCAGTGGCAGGCTCTGTAGGCCTGGCATGGTCAGCAACTACTTGGGACACCTGCATCTCATTCTGAAATGCCTGCTTCAGATACTGGCTCCTCCTCCACTGAGCCAGCTCTCTGCTAATGTTCCTGAAAGCAGAGGATGACTTCAGCACTTGACTTCCTGCCATCCGTGGAGCAGGCCAGAGTTCCTGCTTCCTGAGGTTCCTGGTCTTGGTCTGGCCTAGCCCTGCCCTGTCACAAGTATTTTGAGGAGAGAATCAGCAGGTAGAAGGTATTTCTCTCATCTCTCTCTCTTTTTTTAAAGACTTATTTATTGTTAGTTGAAAGGCAGATTTACAAATAGGTTAGGACAGAAAGATCTTTTTTATCCGCTGGTTCACTCCCACTTGGAGGGTAGGGACCCTAAGACTTGGGCCATCTCTCACACTTTCCAAGGCCATACGCAAAGAGCTAGGTCAGCAGAAGAGCAGCTGGACTTGAAACAGTGCACATTTGAGAATCATCAGCACTGTAGTTGGAGGTTTAATTTAATATGCCACGGTACTAGCCCTGGCAGGTCTAAAAAATAAAAAGGTGCTAGTGTTGTGGCATAATGGGAAAACGGTTACTTGTGGTGGAATACAATATGGATATTGATTCAAGTTCCAGCTGCTCCATTGCTGATTAAGATCCCTGCTAATGTGCCGAGAAACCAGCAGAAGATGGACCAAGCTTTTGGGTCCCTGGACCCACATGGGAGATCCAGAACAAGCACCTGGCTCCTGGCTTTGTACCACCCCAGCTCTGGCTGTTGTAGCCATGTGAGGAGTGAACCAGTGGATGGACGATTTCTTCCTGATTTCTCCCTCTCTCTCTGCTCTCTCTCTTCAAAACTCTGCCTTTCACATTAAGAAACATATCTTTGGGAAAAGAATTACTTCCAACTTTGACTTGAAGAGATCTGTTGATAAAATTTCTTATGATAGCGAAAATATAAGTTTTCCAAAAGCTGTAACTCTGCAGTGAGAACAAAGACATATTTCTTCAGAGGAAGAAGGTGGGTGTAAGCATGTGATGTAACACCCAGGGTGACGCTCCATCTATGGATTTAGATTCAGACAACATAATGTGAGGTCAAGGAAGAATTTGCTGCAGCAGATCAGAGGCCTCTAAGGAGGCAGAAGCAAAGGGTCCATAAAGACATTGCTGTCTCGAATCTCAACTGTGCATTTTTAATTGAAATTTCAACTGACTCCTCTTTATGAAGCTCAAATAAACAAATCCACTGGGGCATGCAGCTAATCCTGCAAAATATTTTAATTAGCATCTAGATTGGTGATAGGAGTTTTCTGTTCTAGAGAATAGACATGCATGCTTGGCCACTAGAGCTGCTGCAGGAGAGTGTCATGTAAGGGCAAGAGGTCACTGCGATATAAGCTGTTGGATACTCTTCATCTGGGAGGGTGTCGAGCCCGGCTCCCACACACTTGGTAATACTCACTGTCCATCAGCCTCCAGTTCAGCAAGGGGTCATAGACGAAGGCCTCCAGCACGGCCATGACACTGTCCTTGTGCTCCCGCAGCACCTCCAGCACCGTGTGGCAGGTGATTCTGTAGTTGCCATCCAGACCTGTAACCTAGCGGAGGGACAGGGCCTCTCACCATGAGGACCACAAACTCCGGCTCTCTGGGCACAGTCCCTGGCTAGGAGAGGGCCAGTGAGGGCCGTGGGGCCATGAAGCCAGGTGAGATCCTGTGAACTGTGGATCCCGTTCTGACACAATGGGCAGCCGCAAGACACTGCTACAGATGGAACACAGGCATGTCGTGGGGCAATGGAGATCCATCAGCCAAGTCTGCCTTCCAACTGTGTGGACCCCACTTCCAAGCAGCTTGTTTGCAATGCCCACTCACCTCCATAGCATTGGTCAGCATTCTTGTTAGTCTAAATGGAATCTTCTCAGGAAATTTCTCTCTGGTCATAGCAACCTGGAGAATAAAGGGAAAAAACCCCACAATTTGCAGTTAGATTGATTTCTTTAGTGAAAGCCAGGTAAAGGCACACAGTTCTATCTTGGATCAGTTGCACTGACTTTTTAAAAAAGATTGATTTATTTTGGGCCCAGCACGATAGCATAGTGGTTAAGGTCCTCACCTTGACTGCGCCAGGATCCCATATGGGTGCCGGTTCTAATCCCAGCAGCTCTACTTCCCATCCAGCTCCCTGCTTGTGTCCTGGGAAAGCAGTCGAGGACAGCCCAAAGCCTTGGGACCCTGCACGCACATGAGACCTGGAGGAGGTTCCTGGCTCCTGGCAATGGATCAGCGCAGCACTTGGGGAGTGAATCATCGGATGGAAGCTGTTTCTCTCTGTCTCTCCTCCTCTCTGTATATCTGACTTTGTAACGAAAATAAAAATAAATCTTAAAAAAAAAGAATTATTTATTTTTACTGCAAAGTCAGATATATATATAGAGAGAGAGGAGGAGAGGCAGAGGGGAAGATCTTCCATCCATTGATTCACTCCCTAAGCGGTTGCAATGGCCGGAGCTGAGCCGATCCAAAGCCAGGAGTCCGGGAGCCTCCTCCAAGTGTCCCATGCGGGTGCAGGGTCCCCAGGCTTTGGGCCGTCCTCGACTACTTTCCCAGGCCACAAGCAGGGAGCTGGATGGGAAGCAGGGCCATGGGGATTAGAACCAGCATCCATATGGGATCCTGGGGTATTCAAGGAGAGGACTTTAGCCATTAGAGTAGCATGCCGAGCCCAGCACTGATTTTAGTTATAGCACAGAAATCAAGTATGTCACGTTTAACAGAGGGGCTCACCATTGAGTTCTGAAAACTAACAACAACAACAACAAACCAGCAGAGAGAGAGAACAGGGAAGCAGAGGACCGGTGGGCTGCCTGTGAGCTGGGTCCTCCTGAGCGGGAGGGCAAAGTGCGCATGGCCACAGCCCTGAGAAGGCTGAGTCCAACGGAGGGCAGGGGTTCATAGTTTAGACTAGCTTTGTGTTGTGTCTGTAGCAGTTAAGTGTGAGACAAGGGCATGTGGGGGCTAAATGTGCCTTCACTGTCAGTGAGTTCCATGCAATGTTCTAACATGTGCTCACCTCAAAGCAGTCCCCAAAGTCAATGTGCAGGATCTTCCCACTGAGCCGGTCCAGCATCAGGTTAGATGGGTGTCTGAAAAGCAAAGGAGACCAGGCAAGGGTCACAGAGCAGCACCAAAGGAGGAAGCACCCCAAAACGCAGATGCCAGCCAGAGCTGGCCACCCACCAGCCACGGCATCCCCAGCTCCCGCTGTTCTTCCGACTCCCTGCAGCACAGCCAGGCTCCCCGACGAGGGATGGCTGTGCCTGTTCTATGCTGCAGCAGCAGAACTGTGCAACTGGGACAGAGATCTGACAGAGCCGAGAACATCTACTAGCTGGTCCGGCTCAGCAGAGCCTGCCAACTCCTGCTCTGAGGCTGAGCGGAGATTTATCTGCGTGAGTCACAGGTTGGCCCACTGCACCAGGGTGATCTATTTCCCAGGGCTGTGGCTGCCTGACAAGCGGTTTCTGGCAGTGCTGGCCCTCGGCATGGTGAGGCTCTACCACGACAGCTGAGGACCTGTTTCCTTGAGCAGTGAGCCAAGCCAGAATGGATCACCTGGCTTTCAAACTGGTGTTCCATTGGTTTTTTTTTTTTTAAATGATGTATTTATTTGAAAGAATGACAGAAGAGAGAGGAGAGACAGGGAGAGAGGTAGAGATCTTTCATCTGCTGGTTCATTTCCTAAATATTCCCAATAGCCATTGAAGCCGGGAACCAGGAAGTCCAACCGGGTCCCCGGTACTCGGATTTACCAGCTGCTGTCTTTCCAGGTCTGACAGCAGGAAGTGGTCTTCAAAGGGGAGTATCTGGGATTTGAACCAGCACTCCAGTACAGAATGTGGGTATCCTATGCAGTGAGTTAATTGGCTGCACCACAATACTCACCCCTCTGCTAGTCTTTTTTTAAAAAACAACAATTTATGATGTTTTTGGGAATGCAATTATTTTTACTGTCAAATGGCTATCTGGCATATGATACTAAGAAAAAACTACCCAGACAAACAGTTTTCTTTATCTAATTGCATGTTAGTTTCTGAATATTTGTAAATGACTTCCTCTGTCAGTACATTTGGACAAAAACAGATCACACTAAAAAATCAGCAAATTATACTTTGGTTGATTTGAACCATGGGAATAGGATTACTTCTCTTAGCAGAGCGGTAACTGACAAATGGTTGACACAGTCACTACCATACTGTGCTCATGCAGGTGTTTAGCCCAGTGGTTAAGAGACCTACACCCCGCTTCCAAGTGCACGGGGCAGCATCTGCCGGTTACGTCCAACTGCAGCCTCCTCTACCGCAGCCCCGAGACAGCGGGTGGCTTCGTGCCTGGGAGAGCTGGCCCAGGTCCTGGCTCCTGGCCCAGCCCTGGTCACTGTGGGCTTTGGAGAAGTGGCTCTGGCAGGCAGTGCTCTACGTGTCTGTCTACCTCTAAAATGAATAAACAAGAATCTGCATGATTAAAACACGTTTTTTAAAATTTTCTCTTTTCTTTTCACCTATCAGGGCCTGGGATTCACCCCCTCACTCCCAGACAGTAGGGGTAAGCTGAGACCACCTGGTGGCCATGGGTGCAGAATCTCACCAGTGGCTGTGACCACAGCTACGGTCGGAGCCGTAAAAAATAGCTACTTTAATATGATTTTTAGTATACTACACCACACTGTACAGAGAGTAACATCCTGGAACTATGGGTTTTCTTCCCTTCAGTCGCCCATGTTGATCGCTGAGCTTGTTCAACAAATGGGGATGAAGGCTAATGCCATAGGACAGGTCAGGAGTACAAACACAATGCTGCTTTATCAAATGGACATAAATCGCACTGGGAAATAAGATGAAACTAATCAACAAAAAAGAGGAACAAATTAAACGCACTCACCTATCTCCTAGGCCCAAAATATAGCCCACCATGGACATGACAGCTAAAGAGCGGGTGTAGTTGGTCCTTCGGTCAAACCACACCTAGGAACAAGGGAACACGCGACACATGTGGACCACTCTTCAGAAACCTGAACGGATTCAACCTAATTCTACCTCAGTCAACTGTCTGTTTATATCCCATCAAAGATGAGATAGAATACGTGATGGGCTTCATTCACAGCTGAAAAGTAACACACTGCACTCCAGAATCAACTTAATTAGAAATGTAAAGAACATAGATTAATAAGGAGACTTTTTGTAGGTACAGGCTTGATTAAATGAGAAAATAAAGGATGGGCACTCATCATTCTCAATTATGTAAACATCATCAAAAATAAAATTAAAAAATCATTAAAAAGACTGTAAATTTGCTAAATCCTTCAGGATTATTAGGAATATTTAATAGGATTGCAATAAAAAATGCAGTGGCAGCTTTTTCTCAAGTTTCATTGATAACACTACCCCAAAATTTATCTGCAGGGAAAAAAAAATGAAACAGCTGATAAGAGGAGTCTTGTATTAATACTAGCAGTATGGGATTTCAGCAGAAAGAGCAAGGCACACAGAACAGACTCCCCAGCAAGAAATCCAGGAGCACAAAAGAATTAGTGTAACAAAAATAAAGTTTCAGAGCCTGGTGCGATGGCTCAGTGGCTAAATCCTTGCCTTGCATGCAGTGGGATCCTCTATAAGCAGTTCGTACCCTGGCTGTTCCACTTCCCATCTAGCACTATGTGGCCTGGGAAAGCAGTGGAGGATGGCCCAGAGCCTTGGGGCCCTGCACTGCGTGGGAAACTCACAAGAAGCTCCTGGCTCCTGGCTTCTGATTGGTTCAGCTCTGGCTGTTGTGACCATTTGGGGAGTGAACCAGCAGATGGATGATCTTTTTCTCCCTCTCTCTGTAAATCTGACGTTCCAATAAAGTTAAATAAGTTTTTTTATTATTAAAGATTTATTTATTTATTGGAAAGTCAGATATACAGAGAAGAGGAGAGACAGAGAGGAAAATCTTGGTTCAATGATTCACTCCCTAAGTGACCGCAACAGCCAGTACTGCGCCGATCCGAAGCCGGGAACCAGGAACCTCTTCCGGGTCTCCCACACAGGTGCAGGTCCCAAAGCTTTGGGCCATCCTCCACTGCTTTGCCAGGACACAAGCAGGGAGCTGGATGGGAAGTGGAGCTGCCGGGATTAAAACCAGCGCCCATATGGGATCCCGGCCTGTTCAAGGTGAGGACTTTAGCCGCTAGGCCATGCCGCCGGACCCTTAAATAAGTTTTTTAAAAAAGCTAAATCTCAGTAACAGTGGTGAAGGGATAGTCTTTCTTTCTTTCTTTCGCTTTTTCTCTTTCTTTCTTCCTTTCTCTTTCTTTCTTTCACTGTCAGAGAAAGTGACAAAATATATATCAACAAAATAAAAATCTCAATTCAAAAGACATACCATTAACAAAACTACAAAACTAAACACACACAGAATTGGTAACATATGTAAAAAAAAGAAAACAAACACTATCAACTTGCAGAGATCTGCAATGTTATTAACTGGATGCAGGAGTTACAGGAACTGCTGCGTCTCAGTCTGCCAGCCTGCCTGGCATTACTGCCTGCTCTTTTAAAGCTGCTACCCCTTACGTACCCCGGAAGGCCTGCCCGGGCGGGCTCGGGTGCGGGGAGGGCCTACCTCGGAGCTGGGGCTCTTGAGCCACAGCAGCTTGGCCAGGTCGTCCCCCGCTGTGTTGTTGACCGCGTGCTCAAACACCTCCACCTTCTGCATCAGGGTCAGGTGGTCGTAGTCTGGGGCCATCTGCAGCAGAACAGGCACAGACGTGAGTCAGGCGGCTCAGCTCCAGGGGGAGCGAGGCTGGGGTCCAGACCTCCACCAAAAGGAGAAAGGACAGAGGAATACTGCGCAAGTACACACGGGACCACGTGTCCTCCCAGGGCAGCAGGGGAAAGGCCAGGACTGGCCCAGCAGACACAGCTCGGACTGCTCGCACCTCTACTGTCCGTGACCTGCCATGGGGCTTCCTGCATGTCAGGTGATTCTGACTTCCTCTAGGATGATGAGAACCTTCTAGAAATTTAGGGGCCCGTGTTTCTTATCTGTTTAGGACTCTACTTCATGAAACCTTCAAGTAACTTTCCTTGAACAGACTTTCTAGTGATGAACACACAGAGCTGGAGAAATCACGCCGATTTCCCAGAGCGGGAGCTCTGCCTCCAGCGCATCGCGGCCCTTGGGTCTGGCAGCCTCGTCACATACCCTCAACATGATCCGGTGTTCAATATTGAGCAGGATCTTCTTCTTCTCCCTGTAGTCCCGGATGAGGGCGTGCAGCGTGTCACAGTGAGGGACCCAGCCAATGAGGCCCGAATTGGTTGATAAAGGAATGACGGCATATCGCTGGATGCTGGTGCGCCAACGGGAATGCAGGGTTAGTGCACGGCAGAGCTTTTTAAATGAATCTTTCTATATATTTATTGACATTTTTATGGATTCCCATGAGATGTTTCTACAGATGTTTACACAATGTAATGTCTAACTAAATATATCTCAAAAGCTCATTTAACATTTTTTATGATAAAAACATTCAAAATCCTTTCTTCTACTTTTTTAAAATTTATTTTATTTTTATTGGAAAGTCAGATATACAGAGATGAGGAGAAACAGAGAGGAAGATCCTTTGTCTGTCAATTCACTTTTCAAGTGTCCACAACCGCCAGAGCTGTGCCAATTCCAAGCCAGGAGCCCAGAACTTCTTACAGGTTTCACACACAGGTGCAGAAAGCCAAGGCTTTGGGCCATCCTCGACTGCTTTCCCAGGCCACAAGCAGGGAGCTGGATGGAAAGTGGGGCTGCCGGGATTAGAACTGGAGCCCATATGGGATCCCAGCACATGCAACGTGAGGACTTCAGCCAGTAGACCACCTCGCCGGGCTCAACTTTTTCTTTTAAAGGTTTATTTATTATTTTTATTGGAAAGGCTGATCATATTTTCAGAGAGAAGGCGAGATAGAGAGAAAGATCTTCCATCTGCTGGTTCACTCCCCAGTGGCCATGATGGCCATAGTTGAGCTTGATCTGAAGCCAGGAGCCAGTAGCTTCCTTTGGGGCAATTACACAAGTCCAGGGTCCCAAGGCTTTGGACTGTCCGCCACAGGTCATAAGCAGGGAGCTAGATGGGAAGTGGAAGCCAGGATACAAACTGGTGCCCATATGGGATCCCAGCACTTGCAAGGTGAGGATTTAGCCATTGAGCCATTATGCCCTCGACCCCCCCCCCATTTTTTTTTTTAAAGAAAAATCCACAGTATATTATCATTATCTATTGTGCTCCTACATTGTAGTAATTTTTTCTTTTACATTAAAAATTACAACGGATGAAAATTTGAAAATATAAAGGTACAAAGAAGAAAACTAAACACTATAAAGCAGAAATAGCAGCTATGAATCCTTGAATGTTTCCTTTCAGTTGGCTTTCTGTATTCACGCAGCCTGCTTTTTCTTAATTTTTTAAAAAATAAATGGGATATCAAATATGCTCTTTCATATCTTATTGTCATCCAATGATGTTTTCATCTTCTTAGGTTTTCAAAGAGCTCTAATTGATATAGAAAAATATTTGTAAATGAAAAGCACAGTATACAAACTGTGTTTTATATATTTATATAAAATATATAAAATGAGTTCAACTACAAACATGAAAGACAAAAAAATACATAAAAAAGATAACAGCTAATAACTGCTAAATAGATTACCAATTACTTCCTTTAGGACACGGTACTATATTTTCAGCTTTCTACATTAACAATGGCATACACTTTTTTAACCTATTTGAAAAATGAAACAAAATCTAAGAATCACAAAAGGGCTTTTCAACAGAAAGACACTTAATTGTTAGTACTTTAAAAAGTTAGTTTTAGGGCCTGGTGGCGTGCCCTAGCGGCTAAAGTCCTCGCCTTGAACAGGCCGGGATCCCATATGGGCGCCGGTTCTAATCCCGGCAGCTCCACTTCCCATCCAGCTCCCTGCTTGTGTCCTGGGAAAGCAGTTGAGGACGGCCCAAGGCTTTGGGATCCTGCACCTGTGTGGGAGACCCGGAAGAGGTTCCTGGTTCCCGGCTTTGGATCGGCGCAGCATCGGCCATTGCGCTCACTTGGGGAGTGAATCATTGGACGGAAGATCTTCCTGTCTGTCTCTCCTCTTCTCTGTATATCTGACTTTGTAATAAAAATAAATAAATCTTTAAAAGAAAAAAGTTAGTTTTAGGGTTTGGTAAAGTTTTAGTGGGTAAAGTTGCCATCTGAGACACTGGTATCCCACTCAGGCAATTCCTGTTCCGGCTCCTCCATACCTGACCCGACTCCCAGCCGAAGGTGTGGAAAACGCAGTAGAAGATGGTCCAAATGCCTGGGCTCCTGCCACGCACAGAGGAGACCCCGAGGAAGCTCCTGGCTCCTGGCGCTAGCCTGGCCCAGCCTCAGCTGCTGCGGCCATCTAGGAAGACTAAACTCTGGATCAGAGCAGGATGCAGGTGCCATTGCTAACGGACCCCATTTGCCAAACTGGCTGCTGTGTCAGGAGCTGGGGAGGGTCAAGCTCACAGAAGACAGTGCACTAATGATGCAAGCTCGCTGGTCTGGGAACAAGCGGGTGACTATCTCTCTGAGTAACCTCTCAGGGAGCCATTCACGCCCTTGCTAGGCAGAGGAGCAGCAACAGTAGCGGGGACAGGAAAGGTCAGAGTCACACATCACCGTCGCAACTCCTGCAGGTGAACTGTCCCAAAGCACTGCATTCCAGATGCTCTGGAAGTAGTGCAAGCCACTCCTCAACGCACACTCCCTAGACACCGCAGAGTACATCTTTTGCCAGGTCAGAATGACTTGACAGCTTGATTGTCCAGGTCTGAGACTACAGGGCTAGACGGAGGGAAAAACAAGCAGAGCTGCCACTCAAAGCTTTGGCATTCTCCCTGCGATCTCTATACCTGAGGTTCTTCCGCAGAGACGTGGGGTCATTGGCTAGGAGGGTGTTAACCAGGCCGAACAGCTGCATCACCCGCTCGTCCTGCCGCAGGTCTTCATGCCCCTTCAGGAGGAAAACAAACTCATGCCCGTTGCTGCCTGTGAGGGTCAGAGAAGACAGGGAGGGATGGTGAGTTTCCAAAACCTCCCAAGACTATTGCGTCTTATCTCCTCACTTTCTGTAAAGGAGGAGATCAAACACTGGAACTGAAGAGAAAAATAGTTCTGTTTGCCTTTGTTCCCCAAAGGCCAATGTGACCAAATGAAAACAAAAGAAAATACGTTCTGCAGATTATCACTCCGCGTAATGCCCCACCCTGACTCACTGTATCCTTCGCTGTCCAGAGAAGCCTGACACCCCTACACGTCAGCTCACCTGGGGTCCCTGCAGGATGTGGCTAACAGGGGGCACCGGAAGGAGGTCAGAGATCTCTAAAGAAGGGTCAGTGATTGCCCCCCACAGTTCTGGGACAGTCCATCCTCCCCCGGCTTTGTGGCAGCTGCTGTTGGATGGCCTTTTCAAAGGTTATCATGCCTGCAGGACTCAGTGCGGTTTCGGGTCTGAGGCTTGGTGTGAGTGGGAGTAATTTCACCTTGGCTTGTCCCTTCGTGCTCCCTACTCGGTCTCTGACCTTTGCTTGCAGACATAGCTCTTTCATGAACTTCCTTGATTGAGCATCCTGAGCACCTGACTAGCACAGGCTAAGCACCAGAACACAGGAGCCCACGAGGTCTACAAGTAAGGGCTGTTGATAAGTGACCACGGTATTTAAGGAACCAGAGTGTCATCCAGAGAGAGCAGGCTCAAGGGACCAAGAGAGAGTCCCAGGCAGGTGAGGGGCGCTCCCCATAGGCAAACTCCAGAGGGCTGCTGTTTAACAGCCTTTACTAGGAGAATTAATTTAAGAAAAAAGCCTTGTTTATTTAAACTGCTGAGCAAGACAGGGAGAGAGAGAAAGAGAAAGAGACATTTTCTATCCATTGTTCATTACCCACATGGCTGAATGGGGCTGGTCCAGGCCAAAGCCAGGAGCTTAAAACTCCATCTGATCTCCCACCTAGGTAGCAGAGGCCCAAGCACTTGGACTATTTTCCACCACCTTCCTGGGAACATTAGCAGAGAGGCTGATGAGAAATGGAGCAGATGGGATACAAAACTGGCACTCCAGTGTGGATGGCTTCACAGGGGACAGCTTAACTCAGTGTCACAGCACTGGACCCTGAGAAGCTATTTTATGTAATCATTTTCCCCGATATAGACTATGATGGTAAAAAAGGGGCCACATTTTCTTCCTTCCGGAGTAGCTGGTTGCCATCCATATTTGCACGCATCCAGATGCTCTTTGCTGGCCTCCCATTTCCCAGCACCTACCTTGTCCAGTCTGATCTCTGTGTGTGCCAAGGCAACCCTTTGTGTGTGACCACTCCACTGCTTCTAAACCAGCACGGCTCCGTGAGGAACTCAGAGTCCTGGGGAGGAGCTAATGGGGGAATCCACTGTGCTCTACACCTCCACTCTCAGTAAGCACAGGAGAGACGCTACATCCAAAAGGTGACCAGTGGGATAGCAAATGGTCATTTCAGAAGACAGGAGGAGAGGCGGGTGACAGAAGTCCATAACGGTTCTTACCCATGAGTGTCAGCTTCCGGGGCCTCTGCTTAGACGTGATGACTTGCAAGGACGGGGCTATGGACTGAATGCGAATGATTGGCTGGTTGGGGTCATATGTTCCTGGCACAGCCAGTTCAAGGTCCCGGCACATCAGAAGCTTTGGGGAGACATACTGCAGCTCTAAGGACGTGAGCTGTGAACAAATATCAAAGGATTTAGCCTCCTACCTTCAGGGAAAGGAAGAGCAATGTTCAACAGTGTGCTAAGAGCAATGACTTGTCCCAGAGTCTGCAGGTGAAGTACGACCAGCTGCTATGAAATGCTGCTCGGGCCTTCACACAGAACAGGCGGACTGGTGACAGAAGATTCTACCTGGGGCAGCTGCTTTGAGATTCGTCTGAACACGTGATAGTACAGGTCCCAGGCTTGGGTGAGGTCTTTGACATTCCCTGACTTCATGTACTTCCTGCACCACTCTTGGGCCTCCATTAAATCTCGGCCGTATGCCTGCAGGGGAAAGATGACAAGGAACATGGGAGATTTTAAGGTGTCCACTAAGCAAGGGGGCTAAATACCCAAGCAGACCATCCACATCCCTTAGGTGATGGCAACAGAAGCCGAGCACGTCTCTGGCCGAAGTTCTCAGCTCACTCTAAGGTTTATTAGCTAGGGGAAGCATCCGGGAGAGACAGAATGATCTCCGGAGGAACCTGGGATTTTGAGTTACAGTTTCAGGGGGGTTCTGACACTTGGTGACAAAATGCATTGTTGACGTTTCTTTATCCTGGAACCTCCACGGGTGAGCACTTTATTGTGGGAAAGGAGTCACACCGAAACCCCGAGTAATGTCCTTTCATGCTTTTTATTCCATACCTGATTAAAGGATGTTTCCTTCAGAGTCTGCGGGCCCCGTTCCATCATGGCATGTAGGGGTTCCAGTACTTCAAACATGCCTTTCACATTCCTCTCCCCAAAATACAAACGAGACGCCTCTTCCAGGCCTTCGTGCCACATCTCATGCCAGAGGATGGCCACTCGGATCAGCTCCTCACTCACCTGTTGAGGAAGAGAAGGAGGAGAGAAGGTCCAGGATAAACTACGCCCTGCAAGGTCTGTTGGCAAAGGATGGTGGGCCCGAGGGCATGCACCGCCGTCCTGGGGACCTGTGGCAGGTGGCTGTGCCAAGTGAAAGCCCATGCTGGCTCTGGACTCACCATCATGGCCTGCTGGACCAGGGTGTTGCTGTGTTCACACATATTCTTGAGAATCTTGTTGGCGGCATTGTGACGGGCTGTTGTAGTGGACTTGGAAGCCACAGTCAGCGGGTAGATGAGAGCCTGCGGCCAACACAGGAACACATGCAAAGGGTGACACAGGAAGGGTGATACAGCCACCAGGGTCTACCATAGGACTCTCTTTAGGAAGGCTGTGGGCCAGTGGGGCTACACGAACCACCCCGGGGCAGGTCAGAGCACTGGCCTCCCCTCCCTGCTCTTGTGCTGACAGCAGATTTAGCAAGGGTGAGCCTCAAACCAGGGATTTGAAGAGAAAGTGTGCGGGGTCTGCACGTACCTGGGGGTGGTACCGACCGATGTCTGTGAGGAGCTGGTGAATGAGCCGTCCCACCAAGGGCCTGGGCGTGTCAATCCTCGCAATGAGCTGAGGTATTACCTGGTGTGCAGAGAGACACAGCAGGCAAAGTGTGAGATGGAAACCACCCCAGTTATTCTTCTGGGCAAAGATGGACTTCCATAAACTATTTGATAGACACTGTCATCATTCCTGTCGGTTCTCTCAGAAAACCTGAAGGAAATAGGGAGTCTAAGATGGTGGGGCCAGGCCCTACCTCCTTACTGATCTCCAACACACACTGCCTTGCATGAATCAAAAGAAGACACACAGGAAAGAGAAATCTGGCCCAGTTGCCCCTCTGCCAGCACCCTCACCTGTAGCCAGGTGTCAATCTGGATTGCTTTCACCCCTTCCACTAAGGCTTCATTGACATCTGGCCAGTGGCCATAATCAAACCACAGGGTCAGGACTCTGGAAAAGAAAAATGAGCAAGTCACAGAATATCTGCTATCCCAAACATCCACACATTTTTATAATTTTTTTTTTAAGATTTATTTATTTTTATTGCAAAGTTAGATATGCTCGGAGGAGGAGAGACAGAGGGAAGATCTTCCATCCAATGTATCACTCCCCAAGTGACCACAATGGCCACAACTGAGCTGATCTGAAGCCAGGAGCCAGGAGCCCCTTCACGTCTCCCACATGGATGCAGGGTCCCAAGGCTTTGGGCTGTCCTCAACTGCTTTCTCAGGCCACAAGCAGGGAGCTGGATGGGAAGCAGAAGTGCTGGGATTAGAACCAGCGCCTATATGGGATCCCAGCACATGCAAGGAGAGGACTTTAGCCACTAGACCACTGCACCGGGCCCACATTTTTATAATCTTAAGATTTACAGGAAGATGGGCCTGGCACAGTGGGCTACCAGTTAAAGTCCTTGCTGTTGTGGCCACTTAGTGAGTGAATCAGTGGACAGGAAGTCTTCCTCTCTCTCTTCCTCTATTTTTGACTTTCCAATAAAAATAAATAAATCTTAAAAAAATCTTTAAAAAAAGATTCACAGAAAGAGAACTGATGGGGACTCTGATCAGGGCATCTCAAGTGCACTTGCTCTCGGCACTCCTTAGGCTCAGCAGGTGGCTGGGCAGAAGCAGAACATGAGGCATGTGCATGAATGAGGACCTTGCCCTCTATCAGATTGAGGGGTCACTGTGGTATACATCCTGACACTGAATGTACAAGACAGGAGAGCCTTTAGAGAATGCCTGATTTGCAGACCTACGGAAGACCAACCGGTCAGAGTGCCCCAAATGAAGCAGAGGTTGCCTCTGGTCCTGCTGCACTCTGGACTGACGAGCAGGTCACTCACTGGCTAAAATCTCCGCTGAAGTCAGGGGGACTTTACAATGTGGTCAACAGATGGGTTGATTTTCCCTCCACTTTGAACCACACATGAGAGTTCTCACGCTATCTCTTCTTTGTCACTCTAGCTTTCACCCAAGGTGGGGCTGTCACCTGTGACTCCCCAAGCTGCAGCAGAGGGCTGACTGCGTGCCCTCCCATTAACCCAGTGACTGGGTTCTTGTTCCGCTTCACTGATACCTGAGTGTGTCCTGGAGGTTGTTGCCTCGTGACAAGGAGATGGAACGGAAGAAGCCCTGGACAGCAGGGACAGTGTACATCAAGAGGGTTTTGGACAAATCCTGTTGGAACACGCATATGTTAGTGACACTCCAGCCTCAGCATCTCTGTGAAATGGGTCCTGTGTGTGGGTAGAGCCTACCTCACAGGGTGGGTGTGAATGTGGGAAAGCTGCTCACCAGCCCTGGCACTCGGCACGCACTGAACAACCACCAGTGGGACCCCAAGTGCACCCTGGGCTAGCTAACGAGGTCTCCTGCCCAAGGATCTCTGAACACCATTCTGACTGATGGTCCCAGGGGATCCCCAGGGCCTGCCCTGAGCAGACCCATAGATTGGGCATGTCCACACAGGGAGAGAATGGCTCAGCCGTGTGAACTCACTACAAGGGCCGCACTGTTCAGCTGTGGGGCTGCGGGAGCTGCGCAGACACCAACATGCACAGCACAGCATGCCCCGCAGGACAGGTGGGCAGTACGTTTTTGCTCTAGCCAGGACTCTGGACAAACCCTCAGTTCTTTCTGCAGCCTCAGAGAGCTGGTGTCCTGGCTGGCCCCTAGCGAGGGAGAGGGCAAGGTACCTCAGTGACCTTCTTCTGCAGAGGGGAGGGAGTGGGGCTGTTCTCCGTGCTCTCGGCCTCACTCTCACTGTTGCTGCCCTCAGTGCTGGTGGCCGCGGCGGCAGTGGCAGCTGTGGTGGCAGTTGTTGTAGCGTTCGTGATGTTGGCCCCGCTGGCATGGCGCAATTTCTTCTTCTCATCACGGGCTTGGTTTTGATGCTTGTAGTGCAGCACAGCTTCGAAGTTCATCACTGCCCACGCATGCCAGGCCTGGAGGGCGTGGGCAGCAAGAGTCAAGGCCAGACCCCAGGGCTGTGCTGACAGCAGCCAAGCTGGGGGAAGAGCTGGGACTGCCTCTTCTCTGTGGTCAGCAGAAGAAGGCTCTGCCTCTGTGAGACAGCCAGGGCAGTGGCAGAGTACACTGAGTTCCAGGTGCCGAGGCACTGGTGCAGCACTTCCAGGTCCGGGGTGACTGCTACGGGGAAGAGGCACAGCCACAGGGGGAAGTTTGGGGCCTGGTTTTGCAAAACCTTCACACCCTTGCAGGAGAGCTCGCACTGTGCCCTCTGCCAGTGGAGGCCACGAAGAAATGGACAGTGGGAGTCCCGAGGAGTTGAGAGCCTTACGGAAAAGGGGAACTTGGACTGTTGGAATGGGCCTTCAAGGCAGCTATAGATGGGAATAAGCTGCAGAAGGGAACAAGAGTGGGCAGCAGGAAGGACCGACTGGGTGGGAAGAAACTGATGACATATGCTTCCCCGGATGACAGGGGAAGAACATGCAGGGCGAGCAGACAGTGTCCACAGGAATCAAGCCAATGGACCTGAGCAGCTTGGGGCACACACAGCAGAGCAGAGAGGGGGAAGCTGGCAAAAAAAGGCTGGAGGCAGATGACAGGATGGCAGGCATGCTGTGCCAAGCAGGTCCATGTCTGCTTTCAGAGAAATGGAACTGCACCAAGTTTTAAAATGCTTGGAACACAGGGACAGCTGTGGTATAGCTGGTTAAGCTGGTGTGTATTATGTGGGCATCCCATATGGGTGCCAGTTCAAGTCCTAGCTGCTCTACTTCTGATCCAGTTAATGTGCGTGCGAAAGCAGAAAAAGATGACCCAAGTGCTTGAAATCCTGCATCCATGTGGGAGACCCGGATGAAGCACCTGGCTTTGGCCTGGCCCAGCTCTGGCCTTTGTGGCTATTTAGGGAATGAACCAATGGATAGAAGATCTCTTTGTCTTTCCCTCTCTCTGTAATGCTGACTTTCAAATAAATAAACGTTTAAAATCACAATTGGTAGAGTAGAGGCGTGTGCAGGCAGCCAGTGCTTCCCGTCCTTCACAGAAGTCACGGTGAAGGTCACATGACAGCGGACCAGGGAAGATACGGAGAGCGGAGCAGCCTGACGGAGCGAGAGCCTCCTCTGCCTGCCTGGCCCCCACATGGGGCCCACGGCCTGCAAAGAGGCAGGCCCAGCAGCAGATGGCGGCAAGCAGTTTCTGCGTTTATTTGGATAACGGAGAGCTCCTCATGTCCCTAAGGCTTGGAGCTATGGTTACTTTTGAGCATATCATTCCCTGGGAGACAGAACTGGATTTGGGACATGGTCACTTGGCCACGCTAGCAGGATATCAAGCAATCTACTACTAATTGGACTTTCTGGAGAGTTGGGAAATTCCTGTGTCCCTTGCTAAAAGCCTTTAGCCTCGAGGCGCCCATTTTCCCACTGGGGCAGCTCTGACTGACCGACGCTTACTTGGTGAGTCAAACTTCCATGGTGACTCACGATGTCTTTTTACACCTTCACTTATCTAACAGACACCTGCTCCATGTCCACCACGCAGCGGGCACCAATCTGGGGTTACGGTGAAGAAGACAGGAAATCTTGGCAGGCATACAGGGCTAAAAGATTGCCAGCAGAAGGAACAAGACAAAACAAAACACCAAGGAACCCACATTATGGTAGGAAATGCTTAAAAAAAAAAGCTTTCTTCACTTTTTACTTCAAGGTCAGCGATAGAGAGGGAAAGACAAAGATCTTCCATCTGCTAGTTCAGTTCCCAAATGGATGCAATGGCCACTGGGCCAATCTGGGAGTCATGAGCTACTTCTGGGTCTCCCACAAGGGTGCAGGGGTCGAAGGCCTCGGGCCATCCTCTGCTGCTTTCCTAAGCCACCAGCAGGAAGCTGGATTAGAAATGAAACAACTGGGGCCCAGCACAATAGCCTAGCAGCTGAAGTCCTCACCTTGAACATGCCAGGATCCCAGATGGGCTCCAGTTCTAGTCCTGGCAGTCCCGCTTCCCATCCAGCTCCAGCTTGTGGTCTGGGAAAGCAGTCGAGGACAACCCAAAGCCTTGGGACTCTGCATCCACGTGGGAGACCCGGAAGAGACTTTGGGCTCCTGGCTTCGGATTGGCACAGCTACAGCCGCTGCAGCCTCTTAGGGAATGAATCAGTGGATGGAAGATCTTCCTCTCTGGATATCTGACTTTCTAATAATAAAAATAAATCTTAAAAAAAAAAAAAAAAAGAAATGGAGCAACTGGGATTAGAACGGGTTTCCATACAGAATGCCAGTGCTGCACGAGGGGGGGGGATTAGCCCGCTACACCACTGTGCTGACCTCTAGGAAATGCTTTTTAAAAATGAAAACTAGGGCCTGGCAGTCTAGTGGCTAAAGTCCTCGCCTTGCACGCCTGGAATCCCATATTGGTTCATATGGGCTGCTCCACTTTTCTTGCAGCTCCTTGCCTGTGGCCTGGGAAAGCAGTCGAGGACAGCCCAAAGCCTTGGGACCCTGCACCTGTGAGGGATACCTGGAAGCTCCTGGCTCCTTGCTCCTCGCTTTGGACTGGCTTAACTTCAGCCGATGTGGCTACTTGGGGAGTGAACCAGTGGATGGAAGACCTTTCTCTCTGTTTCTCCTTCACTCTGTAAATGTGACTTTCCAAATAAATCTTTTCTTCTTATTTATTTATTTATTTTTTAATGAAAAGTAGTAAGTAGCAGGTTGAGTGACTGCCTGCGACATTGTCATCCTATATGAATTCCTGTTTGTATCCCAGGTGCTCCACCTCCGGTGCAGCTCCCTGCTAACGGCCCGGGAAAAGCAGCACAGGAGGGTTCAGTGCTTAGGCCGCTGCCACCACATGGGAGGTCCAGATGTCGGCCTCCTGGTAGCCATCTGCAGAGAGAATTAGCAGATGGAATATTTGTTCCTTCTTCTAACACTTCCTCTCAAATAAACAAATCTGTAAAATAAAACAAAAACCTCTAAAACTAGTTTCAGATCCCCGTTTGGGACTAAAGCTGACTTAAGTAACTCTGAAAGCGAACAGTTCTGCCTCGTCAGGGCTCAGCTAATCAAGGCTTGACTGGACAGTTAGCACCTCTGGACAGGCGCTGGGCCTTTTCCGCATCAGATACAGCGTGCTTACTAAATGAGGGTAAACTTGATTGTGAACGCACCTGCGGTTTTCAGAGGGATTAAGTCACCAAGCGCTAGCCAGTGTAGAGGCACTGGAAAAGAAACCGACGACATACGCTACATCAAGCAGCTGTCACCAGACGCCACTCACCAAATACACTAAGAGAGGAGAGTGCGTGTGCTCACTGAAGACACATGCCTGCCAGAGCCAGCCTTGCACCAACCATGTCTGCTCTACATGACCTAACTCTTCATCGTTTTGAAAAGATGTTGCTCAAACACTTAAAAAACAAAGAAAACTAAACTCCTAGCTGAGGGCCTGGCACAGTAGCCAAGTGGCTGAAGTCCTTGTTTTGCATGCACCACAATCCCATATGGGCATTGGTTCTAATCCCGGCAGCCCTGCTTCCCATCTAGATCCCTGTTTGTGGCCTGGGAAGGCAGTTGAGGACGGCCCAAAGCTTTGTGCAGAAGACTTGGAGGAAGTCCCTGAACTCCTGGCATCAAATCGGTGCAGCTCTGGCTGTAGTGGCCACTTGGGGAGTGAAGATCTTCCTCTCTGTCCTTCCTCCTCTCTGTATAGCTGACTTTCCAATAAAAATAATTAAATCGTGAAAATAAAAATTCCTAGTTGAGAAGCAAGCAGGGATGGAAATCAGAGAGAAACCGGGCAGGGACTGGTGGCCCAAGGAAGGACAGCACTGCAGAGAGGAACCCTGTGTTGAGACGCTGCCGGAGGCTGGCACTGAGGCTCAGCAACAGGTCAGCCCTCCATGTCCCCTACAGCAGCGGCGCAGCACACACTCTGCCAACCAAGGTTTTTCCAACACAGACATTCTCCACGGGAGAGGCAAGCTCCTGGCCTGGGCCTGACATAGAGGAAGGCCACAGCTACGTGCGGGCTGGTGCCTCACCTTGTACCAGCTGCGGTCGTGCTCCGTGGCGGCACTGTAGTACTGCAGCACTTTGGGGATGGTGCTCTCGTTGATGCCCTGCAGGTTCAGCTGCCACTCTCCAAGCTTCAGGAAACAGCTGCAAAGAAAGAACCCAAGCCTGTGTCGCTGTGGAATCCAAAGGCCTTCCTGGTGTCCACTGCTCCCAGGCAGCCACAGGAGGGAACCAGCAGAACTGTCAGTGGCACAGCAGGAGTGCGACAGGCTCTGGGAAAGCCTTCTAAGGTATCATCTCTTTCATTTCGACCCCTCAAGGTCAGGTAGACCATTCCAGGCCAAGCCCATTTTGGTGGGTCACAGTCACTGTGAACTGTTTTTCTTGCTGATTGCTGTATGGCTTCTCCTTTCCCGTCCCCTCCATTCTTTCTCTACCGTTTACTGACCACTGTTGTATTGCAGGCAGCCTGGAATGCCTGACATTGTATGTTCTCCGCACCATCCTCACATCCTCACTCCAAGTTACACCGCCTTTGGAGACGGGAACCCTAACTATGTCTTCTAGAGGATAAGGAAACGGAGGCACTGAGAGGTTCAGCAAGTTCTTTAGAGTCGCACATCTAATTACCAGCTTCTTTGGGGTTTGGAAACAAGATCAAGAAGAACACGTGGGTGTGCTCAGGCTGCTGAGGTTTGGGGAAAGGAGGGCCGAGTCTCTGGGCAGCATAATATCCATGGCTGCCGGGTCCCCAGGAAGGAGGAGAGAGAGATGCCAGCCACCAGCTGTCCAGGCAGCCTGGCCTTGTCCCCCCGTGCAGGGGCCTCTGGGAGGGCTGGGATGTGGCTGGCCCAGAGCGGGGGTCATGGGAACCTCACCGGGCCATGAGCTTGTGCAGTTCTTGCTTGTGCTGCTGGTCCTCAGTAGCAATGGCGTGCTGAGCCTGCTGCTGCATTGTCTGCACGAAGTGCTGCATGTGCTGGAAGGCATCGATCTGCGGCAAAGACACAGAGAGCCACTTAACATGCGCTCCAACCTCACAGGAAAGAAACTGCTACTCGTCGGACAGGATGCTCGGTCAACCCACCCCCAAATGAAAAGACCCAGCACTCAGCTAAGGACCCCACAAGACAGGGGTCCAGGGCACGGAGCTGGCAGGGGACTGTGTTTCTCATGAAGATTACCAGTTTACTCAAGCCTTAGTTCTCCTTTGCCAACTACAGTTCCCAGCTTACGTAAGCCTTGGGAACGTTCCACGTCTTGTTACCCTGAAAAACAACTCTTTACTTCACTATGAACACACTGCCCCGGGGGAAATCGTGCTTATGGGGAATAGTTTCAGGCTAATGAGACTTCAGTAGCTGTTTACAACACCACAGTACCTTGGACACCACAGCCTAATGAAAAACCACAGATTTAAACCCAGATAAAACCCTCAATAAGAATGCAGGGCAGTGGGGTGAGGGAACCTCTTGAACCCTGAGTTGAGGGAGTAGGCACCGTTGAACTCAGCAGCTTGGGAGCCATGTGCTTGGCACACCCCCCGGGGAGACAGACTCACTTACACAAGCCCGGGGTAGCGGTGTTAGGATCGGAGAAGTGAACCAGGAAAGGGCAGACACAGTTGCACAAAGTGGGGGGCACGCTGCACTGCCCCGTGTTTTCCTGACTGTCATGCATGTCGTTTGTAAAGCGTTTCCAGGAAGGAGATGGGGAAAGGTTACAGGCATCAAAGCTCAAACGGGAAATGAAACAACCGAAATCTACTAACATAGGGAGGAAGAAAACCTATAAGAGAATCTACAAAGACACTGTGTTCTCTGTCGCAGAAAAGGAGGAAGAAAAATCCACACCTTAAATAAATTACAGGCCTTTGTACAGCAAATTATACCTGAGGCTCTTGTTTGTTTCGTTTTTAGATGAAAGCAAATTAGTGATGATGACCTTGAAGAAAAACAGAACTCTCCCAGCTTTGGGGTCATGCTCAACCTCAGGTTCAACAGGAGGAATTAATTAACATCAACAGATAGGGTTAAATCCAGAGCCAGGATAACAATGAGGAACAAGTGATTTGGCAGCCAAACCATGCATGAAGGCTGGGAAGACACACAGACGTCCCCCCAGTGAACAAGACACCTGTCTCTTAGACACCTGCCTTCCCAGCGCACCACAACTCACTGATGACTTTGACAAATGAATTCCGTTAGCATCTCACTCCTGGGAAGTGATAAAATGTTCCTTCAGCTTTTCCACCTACGTTGGCCAGACTTAAATCTGATGTTTTGCAAATGAACTGAGAGGCAGTACTGAAGAGATAGAACACTGGTGGTGGATCACTCGGCACAGTGTGTGTGTGTGTGTGTGTGTGTACACCAGATGCTAAGTCTAGTGTGCCCGACAATGCAGGCCCAGAGTTCAAGCTCTTTCTGGTGCACTTCAGGGGTTGAATGCAAAAAACAAACAAAAAACCTTAAACCAGGGAGCTTTGGTATTAGTTCGGATCAGTTTACTCAATCTGAGACTCTATCCAATAGCAAAGGTAATTTATTTTCCAGGAACAGAAAACACGGTAAAGGAAAAACTTTCTTGCACTCTCAATAATCAAGTGGGAAAAAGCGATTGATTTATTCTCTCTCTCAGCCCACCACAGGCCAGGCCAACAGAGTGCAGGCTGGGCGCAGTTCCCAGTTCCTGCCTGCCTGGGTGATCTGTAGTGCAGAATGTCGTCCCCGGCCCAGGGAAATCTCACCGAAGGCCAAGCCTGGCTCTGGATGGCTGGAGCGTCTCCCATCCCACGGGCTCCTAGTCCCGATGCCTTCCTGCACATGGGCACTGTCCTTTCTCATAGGCTCTCGGGTGTAGCAGGTGAAATGAGTGTACCACCCTGTCAGAGCAACTGGCTCTAGGCTGGTCCTGGGCCACAGCGGATGAAGCCACTGCCTGCAGGATTGGTGTCCCATATGGGTGCCACTTCGAGTACTGGCTGCTCTGCTTCCAGTCTGGCTCTGCGCTGATGGGCCTGGGAAAGCAGGAGAGAATGGCTCAAGTGCTTCGGCTCCTGCACTCATGTGGGAGACTAAAAAGAAACTCCTGGCTCCTGGCATCAGAATGTACCAGCCCCAGCTGCTGCAGCCATCTGCAGAGTGAACCAATGAATGGAAGATTTTTTCTGTCTCTCCCTCTCTCTTATTTCTGCCTTTCAAATAAATGAATAAATCTTAAAAAAAAAAAAAGAGGAGTTGGTGTGGTGTTGTAAGTGAAGCCTCATCACAGTGCTGGCATCGACATGGCTGTTGGTTTGAGTCCTGGCTGCTTCCAAGTCATCAGGCCCCAGCACCCATGTGATAGACCTGGCTTCAGATCAGCCCAGTTCTGGCCACTGGGGTCATTTGGAGAGACCTCTCTGTCTCTCTCTCTCTCTGCCCTCTTTGTAAAGATTAATTATTTTTTTAATCTGAAAAGCAGATTTACAGGGAGAAGGACAAAGAGAGGGAAAGAGACAGACAGAGGATCTTCCATCCACTTGCTCATCCTTCAAATGGCTGCAATGGCCAGCGTTGGGCTGATCTTAAGTCAGGAACTAGGAGCTTCTTCTGGGTCTTCCACCTGGGTGCAGGGGCCAAGGACTTGAGCTGTCCTCTGTTGCCTTCGCAGGCCCTAAAGTTGGGTGGGAAGTGGATCAGCTAGGAGAAAAATCAGCACCCACGTGGAATGCTGGTGCTGCAGGCTGAGTATCAGCTTGCTGCTAAGTCACCATGCCAGCAGCCCTCATCACCCCACCCCTTAACAGCCTTTCAAATAAACAAATAAATAAATAAATCTTCAAAAAGAGGGTCCAGTATTGTTGAGCAGTAGATTAAGCTTCTGCCTGCAGAGCCAGGATTCCCATGATGGCAGCGTTCAAGTCCCAGCTGTTCCCTTCCATCCGTCTGCCTGCTACTGTGCCTGGTAAGCAGTGCCAGATGGCCCAGGTGGGAGACCAGGAAGAAGTTCTAGGCTCCTAGCTTCACACTGGCCCAGTTCTGGCCCTTGAAGTGATTGTGGGAGTGAACCAGTAAATGGGAGCTCTCTCTGTACTTTCTCTGTAGCTTTGCCATTCAAATCAAGATAAATAAATCTTAAAAAAAAAAAAAAGAAAAGAAAGAAAGAAAGAAAAAAAGTGACTGGCTCAGCAGCACGCATAATGAGTAGCTGGCTTTCTCTGCGCAGCTCCTGAACTGTGCAGCATGAATCTCCGGCTCTGGGCTTCAAATCCAAGCACCTAACTTGACACGGATTTCTAAGTATTTAATTCCAGCAGAATGCGGGCCAGTCCTCTGCAGAGAAGCTGGGCTGTGATTAGATGCTGAAAGAAATCATGTTGGGCTGGAATATTACCAAAAGGCTTTCTTCCGCTTGCCTATGGCAGGATAGTAACAGTCTTGGAGACCTCGCTAAGGAAGGAAACCAGACTGCATTCAGACCCAGCACCTTCTGGTTTTCTCATTTGCCTGGAAGAGGTCAGGTTTTGAATCAGAAATGCTGTGGTCTGGGAGCCTACCACAGATCCAAAGACAAAGCAAAACAACAAACGCAAATTCACCAAATCACATGTTGGGAGAAAGAAGCCTGGGTGCTCAGCATCGAGGTCGAATCCCGCAGAAGGCAGTGCCTGCCTGTGCACAGCTGCAGACCCCGCTCCCGGGGCCACGCACCATCACCTGGCAGCGGCAGAAGGCAGTGCCTGCCTGTGCACAGCTGCAGACCCTGCTCCCGGGGCCACGCACCATCACCTGGCAGCAGAAGGCAGTGCCTGCTTGTGTGCGGAGCAGACCTCGCTCCTGGGGCCACACACCATCACCTGGCAGCAGAAGGCAGTGCCTGCTTGTGTGCGGAGCAGACCCCGCTCCTGGGGCCACGCACCATCACCTGGCAGCAGAAGGCAGTGCCTGGCTGTGTGCGGCTGCAGACCCTGCTCCTGGAAGGGTCCCTGCAGAAGGCAGCTTCCAGGTGACACCCAAGGCCTTCTCAGGACCCTTTCATCAGACACAAACTTTTTTTAATCAGAACTTTACAACCAGGGCTCTAATAGGTGCTGGAATTCACTCCTTTCTCAATTCGGGATCCACTGTGGGAGCCCCAGTACAGAGGAAGAGAAGCCCTGGTCATCCTTTTTGGTAAGGAGAGAAAGCAGAGAGCCAAAGGAGGCGCTGATTTTGTCTCCGGGGTCTACTTTTTGTTAGTCACCATCATCACACAAGCAGATTATTTAAAAAATAAAAAACCTACAATACTAGCAGTCACATCTATTGTTTAATGGCTTGCCTGTGAAGAAAGAGGAGTTCCCACTGGCCTCAAGATTCCAGCAACACACCCTGTGGGCTTGCTTTTGAGTCCAAACTGATGATGGCAAAGGAGACTAGAAGTCTGTCAAAACCAAACTGCTCTTGTTTGAAACATACGTGTTGTCACAAACACGCAGTTCTTGTATAGGACAGCCAGCCCATCTTCCGGTAGTCAGAAATTGTGCTTTTCATATCTTAGCACTCTGTGGATTAACTGATGTCTCTCCCTGCTCTGACCAATGGAATACATGCACCTCAGCTAGGATTCTCTGTGTGGATGGTAGCCTAGGAGCTTTGGAACACGAAGGAACTCCCCGCCATGGAGGGATTCTAGACAGACCCACTGTGTCCAGTGTGGGCTTTCAGAAAGTCGCGAGAGGCAGGCCAGGTGAGCATTCTGCAGTGACCCCCTGGACGATGGACACAGCTCACCTTACGGGAGCTCTTCCACATGTTCTTCATGTAGGCATAGGTCACCTGCGGGTGGACGGTTGGCAGAGGATGGTCAAGCTGGCGAGACGGATCAACTCCCAGAAGCAACACTAGGGTCTTATGTGCAAGAGCCTTGAAAAGAAGAGAAATCAGGTCACAAAGGGAAGCAGAGCAGCAGCACCGGCCTCCTGCCTCAGCGGCGGGCTACTCACCAGCCTGCCGCTCTTGCCACACAGGCTTGCGTACTTGAGCCACGTTCTCATGTCTTCGTGAGGGTTGACCACAAGGGACCGCACCATGAGGATTTTCTGCCAGTCCTCTACGATACGCTGGCAGCCCTAGAATGGTCAGCAATGAGGGTTAGGCACATTCTCTGCTGTCTCTTCACTTCCTCAAGCAACAGAGAAACCCACCCTACAGCAAAAGAGGAGATTCGATGATACAACCTAAACTTTTCCACACTAGGGATGCCATTCAAGAGAGCGGGGGAGGAGAGGTCTGGAGCTGAAGCCCTGGCTCTGCCATTTACCGTTTATGTGACAGTGGGCAATCTACATAACATTTTTTTCTTAAAATGCTTTAAAACTTTTTTTTTTTTCTGGAAAGACAGAGTTAAGAAAGAAGGAGAGACAGAAAGAGAGAGATTTTCCACCTACTGGTTCACTCCTCAAACGGCCACAATAGCCAGACCTGGACCGAAACTGGAAACAAGAAGTTTCTACCTGGTCTCTCACAAGAGTGAGACGGCTCTGGGCATCCTCCACTGCTTTCCTAGGCCATTAGCAGGGAGCTGGATGGGAAGCAAAGCAGTTGAGACTTCAACCAGTACCCACATATCATCTCAGGACTGTAGCAGAGGATTAGCTTGCTGTGCCACAGCGCTGGCCCCCAGTTATTTCAATTTCTTTTGTGGATTATAAGTAAGTCATTTCTAAATCTTTAGTGTTAGGCTTCAGCCTCTCTGGTTGAAGATGACCATCAGTGACGACAGAAACTATACCGATATCATTCAAAACTAAAAAAACCAAAAGCAGCTTATACATTTAACACTTCCGAATGCTGTGAAATGTAAGTTGGGAGCAATTATGTTCCTGAGTTGTTAAGCCTGAACCTGACTTCCAGGGGCATGTGAACTGGCCGCCTTGGATGCCTTCTTAATTTCCACATTTCTGATCAGAGACTACAAATGGAAAGGGGAAAAGCTTCATTAGTTTACACATACGAGCTCCTTATAATTAAACAAAGGAGCAAATTAATCACTATCAAAGAGCTGAGCTAGTTTTATATCAAATGACTGAATTTCTTTCCCATCCTCACTGGCAAGGAGTCAGACCGGAGGAGTGGTGAGGCTCCTGCCATCTGGTCTCCACGGGTGAATTCTGCAAACCCACAGAGCCGCCCTCTGGAAATTTCACTTAGAAACCGAGCAGCAATGAGCCTGGGCTTCTGACCATGATGGGCTGCAGCCTGAGCCTGCCCATGGGACTCAAGGTCAGAGAAGAGCCAGCGCGGGCCAGCTGACCTCTCCACCCCATCCTGCGGGAGGTTCCTGGGTGGGGATTTCAATTGAGATGACTTGACCACAAATGGCCCTGGGCCAGCCTAGGCAGTTCATTGAGTGCGTGGGCAGGGAGCCATCCACACAGAGCCAGATTTCCACCACAATGTAGTGCTTTATTTGCAGGCCCTGGACGATATTTTTCCATCCCATTAAGTGTGACAATAATGACTTGGAAAGTTAGAAAAATAGAAAAAAGTACACTGAGTGACTGTTTTAGAAAAACAGAAAAAAGAACACTGAGTGGTTGTTTTGCTTATTTCTCATCAATGGGTAGTTTTTAGTTGTTCCCAGATGCTGAAACAATTTAGGCCACAGCCATCTTGGCGCCCCAACACAGGTAAGTCTCTCAGGCTGAAAGTGATGACGGGGTGCTGGGGAATTCAGACATGGGCCTGCCCTCCTGAGCACTCACTCAACCCATTACCCGTCCAAGTCTCTACTTGGATTAAGTCCCACTTGTCAGACTGTCAGAAGAGTCATCAGGTCTCTGACTGATTGGGAACCTCTTCAACCTGTAACAGCCACTCAAAAAATCCAGGTTGTGCTTAAGCCAGGAGAAAGGCTCAGTGTTTGAATTTCTTTCTGTGCCCAGTAGACAATTTTCCATCAAAACACAGACTGGGCATCTCATGATTACTAATAAAACATGTAGAAGAACTGTATGTGCTCACTCCAGAGCCACGAACGAATGCATTCACAGACGTCTGCCCCTTTGCTATGGCCTTTCCAACTCAGGGGAATGTGGCCCGAGCCTGCTAGGGCCGAATGGAGCTGGGAGTCAAAAAGTTCTCTTCCGGCCTTATGAAAGTCTGGAAGCACAGATCTCAAACGGCCTACTAGAGAACCGAAATAGGCACAGAGCTGGCCAAGAGGAAACGGATCATAACTGCAAGGCCAACTGTGAAGAGCATGGAGACGAGCGGTTCTCCCTCCTGCCCATTCACAGAAGAGGGGAGCCAGCTGCCCTCTCCAAGAACACCAGAGACGGCTAACTCCCACTTCTAGAACTGACATCTGCTTGGGCTATGGTGACCAGAAGGCTACAATGAAAATGATGGAAGACTTGCAAAGGGTTCTGTTTAAATGCAAACTGCAGTGAGAAGTGTTCGATTCTACCCCAGGGAACAGCAGACAGCAGGAGGCGGTGATGAGAACACCTGGCAACATGTTTTAAAACAACTGGATGTGGGGCCAGGGCAACGGCTTAACTGGCTAGTGCTCTGCTTGCAAGTGTAAGCATCCCATACGGTGATAATTCAAGTCCAGGTTGCTCCACTTCCAATCTAGCTCCCTGCTTGTGGTCCGGGAAGGCAGCAGAGGATGGCTCTAAACCTTGGGATACTGCACAGGCATGGGAGACCTGGCTTCAGATCGGCTCATCTCCAGTAATTGTGGTCATTTGGGGAGTGAATCAGCAGGTGGACACTCTGTCTTTTCTTGTCCTGTAAATCTGTTTTTCCAATAAAAATAAATAAATCTTAAAAAAATAGCTGGACGTGGGGGTGGGTGCATGAATGTGTTTGGAGCAGGGATTCTGTGTTGGCTGCCCTGGAATCATGCAGGGGGCCTGAAAGACAGATTCTGAGTCTACCCCATATATTTTCACTGGTCCGGAAGTGGCCTCAGCATCAGCCTTCCAGGAGAAGCTCTCGTGCCGCTAACCTAAGGCTGAGAATCACTGACTGTGAGGTTATTGATTTTCATTGGCTGGTCATCAGTGCTAATTTCTTCCATCCCTCTTTTCTTTCCTTCCTTTCTTAATCATAAAAAATTATATTTTTCCTTATCCTAGAGAAGAGAAAATCTGGAAAATCAGCTGTTCTCTCTCCACTGGAGCTCAGGCCAAGGGCAAGTGTTGGGTCTGGTGGGCCAGCGCCGAGCACCGGAAGGACACAGGCACAGCATGCCTAGTGCAGCGGGGGCGCCATGCTCAGCCGCGGCCCTCGACCAGCCTCACCTGCAGTCGCTCCCACCAGATCTGGCGGATGATCTCCTGTCGCTCGGGGACAAGTTTGTACTGGATAACCTCCTCCAGCTCAGACAGCATGTGGCAAGAAACCATGGCCTGATGGAAGCAAAACACATTCCAACCCAATTACTGCATGAACAATCCAGAAGACAGGATTAACTTCACTCTTCCCTTCCGGTGTCAGGGTCTCTGCTGACCCGAGAAAATGGGCACATTCCCAATAGCAGTCTGAGACAAAGAACTGAAAGATGCTTCAAAACCAACAAGGCCAGAGTACGTGACACTCACCCCGTACGCTCGGCTGTAGCTTTCCCCTGCCATGGCGGTCAGTTCTGCATCCAGCAGATCCCTGGCCTTGTCAATGCACTAGGAGAGAAACAGAACCCTGGGCCCGAGCTCCAGACTTGCCAAGGACTTGCAAACGTTATTTTCTCTCTAATTTCAGAAAACTTCACAGGAGATAAGCAAACAAGCTGTTCCCAGATCTGAACAGTGAGTGAAAAGTACTATCCAATTTTTCACTAACAGAAACATTTGGCAGCTAAAAGCCTGACACCTAAGGCCATGGCCACAGCCTAGGGTGGCCACAGGGAGAGCGACAGGTGCAGTGCAGCAGCAGGCTGTGGCCCAAAGCTCAGGACACCCTTGGGGTTCTGCCTTCCTTCACTTGCCTTTGCTGGGCTTGCACGCACATACAGAAGCTCTCTGAAATCTGCAGGGATCTCTCAGCCTTGGAGTTTGACAGGGATGACCTTATCATGCAAATCAGAGCCCAGGGGATGCCAGAGGATAGCAATATGAGCCTTGTAGGGCCATCAGTTAAAAGTCTGCCCTGTGCTCTTGTGCATGCTTCGGGTTAATTACTGTGTCCCCATCTCTGTGGGGGTCAGATGAGTCACCCACCAACCACCTCCTCCAAGACAGCGTCACATTGTGATTCCACTGTCCTTGCATTCTGCACACAGCACCTGCCCCTGTGGACAGTAAACAATGTGGCCACTCTGCTGTGGCCTGGAGAGCCCTGTGGCACCCAGATTCCTGAATCCTCCCTTGGCGAAACTCCTGGCTTCTCTCTGCAATAACAAACCTTGCTAAGGCAAGGTGACAAAAGGAAGCAACGATGACCCAAGAAGCAAATTCCTAAAGCAAGCACAGTGAGAGCTGTTACTGAGTATGGCAGGAGCTCACAGAATCAAGTCAATACAGTCCCAGAGCTGAAGGACAACTGCCTACTGACCAAGCTCCTATGTAGGCTACCTTTTCCTTCCTGGAAGGTCTGGGGACACGGAGGTTTTTACCTGTTGGGCCAATGAGAAGAGGTCCTGATGCAACGCCAGCACGGCTCTGTAGAATGCGCCATCATGGGTGTCCCGAGGGATCATGCAGGTGTACTCCTCCATGCTGTCCCACTGGCCTAGGCGCACACACACAGAGACAGGCAACACGGCGTCAGGGTCAGCTGCCTGAGACAGTAGCAGTGTCTCCCACAGGCCTTGCTGCTATCCCTCTTCTTAGCTTAGGGTACCCGTTGCACCTTCCCACACATGCGGGAGTTGACCTCACAAGGTCCCACCTGTCTTCCTGACATAGGACTCTTTGCTGCTCCCAGGAACCCCATGAGAGATGTGAGGAACACACAAGTACAAACACATAGTCAGCCTGCAGGTGGCACACGACCTAGGTGGCTCTCCAACTGCCGGCAGTGACACAGGGCTTTAGCCCTCAGCAGGGAAGCACCTTAGGGTTCGGTGGTACATAAGCAAATCAGATTTTCCTCAAACAACTGGAAATGGCCATTACACAGGCAGAGGACAGGAGCAGACAAATAGCCTGTCCACATTACTAGCAGTATCTGTGCCTCAGGAGGCAGATCAATATTTTAAAGGGTTCTGTTAGAAGAGAGAGATGGGTTAGGTCACAGTGTGGTGGTCTCAATCATGCCAGCTGGGGAAAACAGCTGCATCCGGGAAGAGACATGCGCCTCCCCTGGTGGGCAGGGTGTGCTTCGTATGCCAGGATTTCCGAGACCATCTGCAGAAAAGATATCAGCTTCATTAGCTGCAAACCGCAGGGCTGCCCGTTTTACAAGGCGCTTTCCTGCCTTCCACTGCACATCATCAGTTCATCTATTCTCTATGCCTCTGGGCGAAAGCAAACAGCACAGGATGACTCCTCAGGAAGCAATTTGTTTTTTTAAAATGTTCCGGATCCAGCCCAGGGCTCATGAAAGGGAAGGATATAAGCTCAGTGACTCAGGAGGGATGGAACGAGGCAGGTTATGTAACCTTTCCCCGCCTTCGGGTGAAGCTTGCCCCTCGCTCCCCCGTGTCCTCGCTGCCCTCCTCATGGAGCTCACTTCCTAGCACATGCACTGCTGAGGCTGGGCATGCAGGGATTCAAAGGAAGTCTCTGCTCTTAAAATCCTCCGTGAGTAGGGGTGAGATGAGTATCAGACCGCAAGGACAAGAACGTGCAAGGTGCTCAGAGGCTTCTAACCACTGGGGAAGTGCAAGGCGGACAGGCTTCTAGCTTCCCTTGTCTGTGTGTCAGCTAAGTTCCAGGATGCACATTTAGATATTAAAGGATGGGCCCGGCACCGTAGCACAGCGGCCAAAATCGTCGCCTTGCATGTTCCACGATCCCATATAGGTGCTGGTTCTAATCCCATCATCCCCATTTCCCATCCAGCTCCCTGCCTGTGGCCTAGGAAAGTAGTTGAGGATGGCCCAAACCCTTGGGACCCTGCACCCGCGTGGGAGACCTGGAAGAGGCTCCTGGCTTTGGACTGGTGCAACTCTGGCCATTGCAGCCACTTGGGGAGTAAACCAACAGACCAAATCTGGTGACAGGAGTGTCCCACGTGTGCTGCCCTCACCTACTGCATTCCATGTTTAAAGCTTGCACACTGCTTTCCTTGGTTTCTCTCAATGATCACCCTTTTTTTGTTGTTATTGTTGCAAAGGCAGATATACAGAGAGAGAGGAAGCTCTTCTGTCTGAGAATTTATCCCCCAAGTGGCTGCAACAGCTGCAGCTGTGATGATGCCAGGCCACTGCGCCAGGTCCCTCAGTGTTCATCTTCAGCCACATCTAGCCAGTCAAGAGAACGCATGAGATGGGAAGGAGGGTGGCGGAAGTAGAAGTTGTTGGCCATGTCCTGCGTGCTGGTGTAGGTCCAACACCTCTCTGAAGCTCCAGTGTCTTTCTCCGCAGCCCCAGGCTTCTCTTCCTACCTGACCAGTGCCCCGGTGAGTAGTCTTACCTAAGCCCCATGCTGCTGCTGCAGCCATCCGGGCCATTTTGGCTTGAGTCTCATCGTTCACTAAGGTCCACTTTTCACAGCACTGTTGGTGGAGCTGCCCCCTGAAGGAAGAGAAGTACCAGTCAGTTTAACTGTAACCTACCAGTCTTCCTCCCGCCCCTGGAGTGAGCCAAGAGCCACAGGGGAACTGCTGTCATGGGCTTGCCCTCCAGCTGGAAGCCTTCATGTAGAGAGCGTATTCTGGTGGTGTCATAATAAAAAAGCAACAGGACTACTGGTGGTTTCTGTGGCTGGTGCTCACGGCTTATCTGAGAGTGAGGCTACTGCGAGTAAGGATTGTGTCTAACTTTACGTGGATGTGAGGTGTCCTGAACATCTGCACCCTGCATAAATATTAAGTAACTTCTACCCTATGCCAATGACCTCTGAGCTGCTTCCTGCTGGCAGGTGTACAGAGAAAGCAATCTGAGGAGACACGTCTGGACATTAGATGGTACTCAAACTATAAGAGAAGTGGCTGTGAAAGTGCTACACAGATGGCTTCAGTCGAAAGTGAAGCCAGGCTGTATCGGAACAAGGCCCTCCAGTGGCCACATTTACTTGAGGACTCGTGTAACTGCAGTTCTGTGCATGTGGGTGGGGCTATGAGATGTGGTGCTGGGGGACCCAGAACAGGCAGCAGAGCCCTCTTCATACAGGAGCTCCTTCTCCACGGCCCAGACTGCTGCCTTCCCATGCGCCACTTCTTCATGAAAGCAAATAAAATAAACAGCACAGGAGATGCTTTTGCCTGGAAGTAGGACAGAAAGTGATGTTCTTCTAATATAAAACCTAAACGTTTCTAGCTAGTGGCCACAGGCAAGTAATGCTTTCGGGTTCTGTCTTGCCTTTGCAGGTGTAGGCAGAGCAAGCTCAGAGAGTACAGCCAACAACCTGTTCCTTGGGGACAGAGCAGGGGACAGTCAGGAGCTACTGGGAAGGTGGCCAAGTCGGTGACACAAGACACTGCCTTCACCACGGCAGTGTGAGAACACTTCCCTTCCAGCTGTCCAGTTGTGCTGGAAAACATGCAGGTCTAGTCCTTGGGCACCTGCGCCTATGGGAGAGATTGGCATGAGGATCCTGGCTTCAGATTGGCTCAGCTCTGGCCACTGCGGCCACTTGGAGAGTAAACCAACGATTGGAAGAGCTTTCTCTCTGTCTTTTCTTCTCCCTGTAAATCTGCTTTCCAATAAAAATAAATACATATTAAAAAGAAAAAGCTAAAATAAAATAAAATAAAATAAAATAAAAAGCCAACGACTTAGTTAGAAAGTCTGTGATCTCCTCCGAAGGTTCTGTTTTCAAAGCCCCAGAGGCTCTTTGGCGCAGCGTGAGCAGGGGTTCACCTGGCTGCAGGTGCGGTTTGTGCTGTGGGACTTTGGGGGGCGGGTAGGGGCTGTCTTTGTAGTTAGCCTCCCTGAGGCAGAGGATCATGGGAAAAGGGAGTGAGGGTCTCAGTTTACTGGTAACCAAAGATGGTCCATGATCCCACTTCAGGCATGTCCTGGATACAAGCTCAAAGCAAATCAAATGCAGGAAATACACCCTAAACCTGAAAGCATCTCCTGTGCTAAGTCTAACATCTCTCAGACTTGCCCTGCATTCTTAAATCCCTCAGGCAGCATTCCAGGCCACTTGCTCTTTCTAGGTAATTACAGAACTGGAAACAACCCAAGGGACCAAGAAGTGCAGCCAAGGGGACCTGTATCAACCATTCTGCTCTGGAGAGACCTCGGACGTGGCGTCTCAACTTTCAGGAGCACACCTCCAATGTCCTTCAACGCTCTAAGCTGTCCCTTCTCACCTAGCCAAATGGAGTGGCTTTCTACTGGCTCTGACTCTCACAAAGCCAGCAAGCAAAGAGAAACAAGGGGAAGCGGTCAGGACCAGGACAGGTTTCAAGGAAGAAGAAACAGTGGAAGAGTTTCAAGAAAGAGAAGAGGGAAGTGGAGAAATGAGCAGAGGGCAAGTAACACGGCCAGGGCTCAGGTTGTGAGACAGGCCGCACTGACAAACGGGCTGGAGAAGCGGACTGGAGAATCGAACATTTACATACGAATTCAAAGAGAACAGGCAGACATCATAGCACTGCAGGACTGATGAGAGTTGATTTTTTTTTTTTTGGTGAGACAGACTTTTAAAAATAAATATGCAATAGGCAATAATCCTCTGAGTGATGACAATGGAACAAATCTTGTGATGTAAAAAAAACAAGGCACAAAATGGTACAAACACTCATTGTGGTTAATATGCTTGTCATGGGAGCTCAAGACACATCATCCCCAAAATGGCACTTTGGGCACTGAATATTTTAAGAAAACCACACAGCAGGGTCATTCTGCCCTCTGCTCCCCTTCTCCCTGAAGCAGGTCTCAACACGGAGAAAGGGCTCTCGGCCCACCCCTTCCCCAAAGCAGGCCTCATGCCAAAGGAGCTCCCCCTAGCCCTGGCACCACACGCGCCAGGGAAGTCTGACCACACTGGCCTTGCCCACTGGTCGCCATGAGCCCCTCGCCTTCTGCCCTGCCACACGCCTCCACGACTACAGATTCCTCACTAAAGTCCACCACAGGAAAACAATTGCTTAAGTCTCATTTCCTTAGGGGCTTCTTAAATCACATACAGCTTTCATTAAATAATGGCATGTTTTTCTCTTATTGATCCACCTTTTGTTACGAGGCCATAGCCATGACCTCAGGTCAAGGAGAGGAACTGATCCTTTTTGGCCCCTGTGCCTGGGTCACCCCGGAGGGCTCCACAGGGACCCGGTCACAGAGCCTGGGTGACAGCAGGGACAGGACAGGGCTTAGATTCCACAGTCCCATCACTATATGCTCAGGAATTTTCTATCAGTGTACATTATCTTTAAGAAAAGAATGCTTTAAGAATAAGGAATTTTTTTTTCATCAGGTAGATTTGGCGGACAGAGGTGCCACACACACACACACACACACACACACACACACACACACACACACTCACACTCCTACGGGACTCTAAAAAATTTTCCCTCCACACTGCTCAGGAGGCCTGGCTTCAGGGATCTCGGGCACGGCTTGGTCTGACCCCTGAGCAACTCTGGAAGCTCCTGCCTCATTGCAATCTGAAAGCTCAGTTGTACCCTGCCTCTCTGCAGCCATTTCATGGCTGGGTCTCCACAAGCCCTGGGGCAGCCTCCTCAGCCCCTCCGGACTCGCCTGCTTCTTGCCAGATCCTTGGGTGGTTTCCAGCAGCTTGGGGCGGAAGTCTGAACTCCGAACAAGGTCTGCAAGCTCCTGCCCACTCACCTGGCCCCTGGTGACCTCTTTCCAAACCCCACCCAGCCCTCAGCTGCCCTGAACATACTGTGTTGCTCATGGTACAGTACCAACTACATGTCACTTCCTTCTGGAAGTCTTCCAAGCCTGGATCAGGGAGCTTCCCATCAGTCATGGCCCCATGCTGCCCCTTTATGACTGTTGAGGGCTCCGCTGCCAAATGCCTGCTGTCCGTCCTGCAAGGGCAGGGACTGTGTCTGTCTCTCATTGCTGTGTCCCCAAGGTCTGCTCCAGATATTAGTTAACAAACAGGAACATGCTAACTGCTGACGCACTGATTGAACAGAGGGCCACAGTATTAGGGTCAAGAGAGAACTGGGATAATTCTCCAGTGGGAAGGTTACACAGCACTTGGTCTGAATCATTAAAACTATCTAACGGTGGGAGCTGGTGCCACGGCCAGGCTGATCCTCTGCCCGTAGTGCTGGCATCCCGGGTGGGTGGTGGTTCGAGCTCTGGCTGCTTTACTTCACATCCAGCTCCATGCTGATGTGCCTGGGAGGGCAACAGAGGGTGGTTCAAGCGCTTGAGCCCCTGCACCGAAGTGGGAGATCCAGAGAAAGCTCCTGGCTCCTGGCACTGGACTGGCCTGGCTCTGGCTGTAGGATCCTAAGAATGCAGTATCTCTCTCTCCTTCTCTCTAACCCTGCCTTTCAAGTAATAAATAAATAAAGTATAAAAAGTTTTTCTAACAATGGTGGTATAGAACTTTGTTCTAAGTGCTTTTTAAAAATTGCACTTGGTGCTAGAAGCAGAATGAACACCATTTCCTTTCAACATTCCCCAAACTCTGCCAGCACAAACCAAGCCCACCTTGTTCTCAACAAAGTGTTGCTTCGCTTACCTGGCTACCTCCTCCCCTCTTTCCCCAGCACCTAACACTCAGCCTTTCCTTCAGAAAGCACTGCACTGTCACTCCACTCCCCTCTCAGTGCCCCGTTGCCAATGACCCTCCAGCTCTCTGAGTGTGTGCTCATCCCAGGAGCCTCAAGGCAGGGCCTGACCTGGGGCCCTCTGTATCCCTACAGCCGGGCTGGGTGCTGAGCACACAGTAAGCATCCGACAAGGTGAGTCACCGCAGGGGGCATGCACTGCCCCTTTTTAGTAGCAGCAGGGGCCAGAGCTAGGAGGCGACCAGGCAACAGTGTGAAAACGTGAGGTCTGTACCACATCGGCGGAGGTGGAGAGACAAGTGGAAGGAATGGGTGTACATCTGCATGGCCCTGAGCTGAAGCACTAATATTAAAAAAAAAAAAAAAAAAAAAAAAAAAGCGCTGTTTAGCAGCTAAAACAAAAGAGAGATAGAACCACCAAAGCAACAGAGGATTTCAGGGAAACATCCAGCGAAACCCACTGAGAGCGAGAAGTGGGAGCTCCATTGCTCCATTGGGGGCAGCTCACCATTCCCCGAGGGCCTCAAGGCAGCGCATGCGGCCCAGCATCAGTTCGGGGTCATCCTTGTTGGTGTCCATCTTCTTGTCATAGGCTACGAGGGCGTCCTCCCACTCGTGTAGCTTCTCATACCACGTGGCCTGGATCTCCTGCCCGGGGGTTGGAGGAGAGAAAGGAATGTGATGAGGCCCAGAGAATGGGACACACCCTATGAACCCAGATGCTTCTTCCTCAGGTGCTGTCCACTGTATGCTGCACGCTGCACCTGTCACAGCAGGTGGCGAGGAAGGCAAGGAAGTGCAGTCTATCAAAGGACTGTGGCTGCTGCAGGCGGCCTGCTGGCTCCTTGAAACACTAACACAGGACCAGGGGCAATCTGAGCAGATGGCGGGGCTGTGCTCAGCCCCTCCTCTTCCTGCCCAGGCCCAGGGACCACCAGGTACCACCAGGTACCAACATATGGGGAGATGGATGGGAAACCATTCAGGTACGGTGAGAAGCAGATTCTTGACTAAGGTGCCAAGGCCCTGGCCTGCTGTGTGCCAGTGCCAGTGCTGGTGCCGGGCTATGTGGCAGGGAAGCTCGCTGCTTCCTGATGGGACAGGAGGAGAGACCAAGCCACACCTGCATCTTTGTTGGGGGAAAACAACTCACTGTCTAAAGTTCTTGATCCTCTGCATTTCTTAATGTACTTTAAAACTTTCAGAAAAGAAGAATGTAAAATATGCTACCACTTAAAATGGAAAACCCTCTCCATGCTTCTTCTACAGTCTCCTGTCCAACGTTCTCTCCTGCTTGGCGCCTGGCAGCTTTGCCTGTGTCAGGCGCCAAAGGAGGGATTCCATTACCCCGCGCAGCTGGAGGCTGGGGTGCCACGCTGAGACTGAGCGTCGCCCACGTGAGCCGGAAAGTCACTCTTGAAATGACTACGAAGCTGTCTGATGTGTCTCCTGTCTGCCCTCCACCTCAGTTTGACTTCTGAGGTTCTTCACCCTCAGCTCAGTATCTGACTGCTTCTCGGGCAGGCCGGGGTCCAGCTCTCCGGGGCTTTCTTTAATAATACGATTCCACAGTGGTACTTGTAGGGTACAGTGCAGAGTCTGCACTTCCTTTTCTTTCATTGTCCTCCTTTTTCTTAAACAGATGCTGACCTAGAATACAAGCTAACTATGACTCTGCTGCCCTGGAACCTGTCAGCAAGGTAACTGTATTTTCGACTGTCAGCTTATACCTGCAGCCCCAGCTTGTTTTGGGAGTGCCATGCCCTCTGCTGCCCCTGCTCTGGCTGTGGAGTTTGTTCACATAGGTACTTTTATCTGGTTCTGTGGAAGGGATATTCTCTGAGCTTAATCTTCCAAGCTTCTCCAGAATAATGCCTCTCTATTATGCCTTAATAGGAAAGAACACTAAGAGAAGAGACTACAGACCGTGGAAAATTAAAATCTCTTGGGGTCAGTGCAGTAGTAAATACAGCATGCTAATCCTCCACCTGTTGGTGCTGGCATCCTATCTGGGCGCCAGGTCATGTCCCAGCTGCTCTACTTCCCTTCTAGTTCCCTGTTTGTGGCCTGGGAAAGCAGTTGAAGATGGCCAAAAGCCTTGGGACCCTGCACCTGTGTGGGGGACCCAGAAGGAGCTCCTGGCTCTTGGCATCAGATTGGCTCAGCTCCAACCACTGTGGCCACTTGGGAAGTGAACCGGTGGACAGAGGATCTTTTTTTTTTATTTTTTTCTTTTTTTACAAATTCATTTTTAGTGGAAAGTTAGATATACAGAGAGGAGGCGAGACAGAGAGGAAGATCTTCCGTCTATCGATTTACTCCCAAGTGGCCGCAATGGCTGGAGCTGCTCCAATCCGAAGCCAGGATGCAGAAGCCTCTTCTGTGTCTCCCAAGTGGGTGCAGGGTCCCAAGGCTTCGGGCCATCATCAACTGCTTTCCCAGCCACAAGCAGAGAGCTAGATTGGAAGCAGGCCTGCTGGGATTAGAACCAGGGTCCATATGGGATCTTGGCATGTGTAAGGCGAGGACTTATGCTGCTAGGCTACTGTGGATGCAGGATCTTTCTCTTTGTCCTTCTCTTTATGTAAAATCTGCCTTTCAAATAATTTTAAAAAGGAAATTAAAATCTCTTTCATGAAAATAGCACTGGTAAATTTCTCACTTGGAATTACTATGTCAGTGGAAAAGAAAACAACGAGTGACGAAGTTTCAATGTGCACAAGCAGAAAGCAGAGGGCAGCACGTAGTGCAGGTCAAACAGAGGGCATGGTGCTTTGAGCTGCATAGATTACAGAAACTATAAGGTTTAAGGAATGAAGCACAAAGAATTCTAATGAGATTGCTGTTACATAAATCATGCTGAGAAAGCGCAGGCTCTGCCAAAAGCAAACCACTGTCAAGCTTAATATGATTCAGCTATCTCAATATAACAGAAAATCCACCCTGGGTTTAGCAGTAATCCTGGCGCCATGGCCACCTTCAGGAGCTGAAGATGGAGACACTTTCATTGGAGGCTGGCACTCAGAGCACAAGCCACCTGCTGGCAGGTCACCTGAGTGCCAGATGTCGACACAGTCCCTTGTTTCAATCAACACTTACTATGGGCTAAGCTCTAAGGACATCAAAGAAGAGTACAGCACAGTCTACACGGAGAACTCTGCTGGGGTCTGTGCAGCAGGTGTAGACGACACGAAGGTGTGAAGAGAACAGCTTCCCTATTTGGCAGGGCCCCAGGGAGCTTCCCACTGCATGGCAGGGCCCAGAGGATGTCTCTGCAAACACCTGAATGCAGTTCCATCTGCCTTTGCAAGGACACATGACCAACCTGCTAAGAATTCCATAATCTATTGTGGCATTGTTGTTTGCCCCTGCGAGATGGCTTTTACAACCATCTTGAGCTTGGGGGTTAATGCTGCTGACAATGTCTTGGTGGACGGGCCTTTAACAATGTATGCTGTCTCGGTTGCTCTCATGGCCCTTTGGCTGGAAGAGCTCAAGAAGGTCTGTGCTAACATCATAATACATGCTTTCACACTAACTTAGGGTTATTGGGTCTGTAGTTGTAGTGGGAATTTATGTTTGTAGTTTTCCTGTTTCTGATCTTTTATCTTTTCCCCTCTGTGATATATTTCCTCCTCTGACTGGTGAGTTGTAGAATGAGAACTGTAGTAGGAGTGTGTTACTGATTAATGTGTGTTGTTTACTGAGGAATTCCTGGCTGCAGCATCAGAATGGATAATGCCCTGCCTTAAGATGAAACAATTTGCAGAATTATCTTTGGAAGCATCCACTTGTGCATTGTAGAGCTGAAATCAAAATGGAGTAAACATGGCTCATTGCTAACTGCAATTCTTTTTTGCCTTTACTTGCTTTACTTGCTTAGCTAACATAATTGTGTGAGCTTGCAGGCAACTAATGCCAATGGTCCCAATCCCCATAAACCAAGGCCCCAGACTCACTAACCCATAGATAGTTCAAGATCGAGGTCTGGTTGTCACAGGTGGCACCAAGGTTAGAGCCCAAGACTTGAGGAGAGCAGGCAGGGACTGGCTAGCCGATGTAAGCAAGGAATGCCTAATCCTTCCTCACTCACCTGTTGTAAATTGTGCCCCCTTGAAGCTATGTCAAACTGCCCGTAAAGAAAACTTTATAATTGTACTGCTCGAGGCCCGCACTCTGCGGTCGAGTGGATGTAGCACCATGACGTAACAGGTCTGTGCCAGAGCTTGTGACTGCTTCTGTATAAATAAAGCAGACAACTTTCTCGTACTGTCCATTATGATCCTGAAATTGTCGTGGTCTGTTTTTTCTCTCTCTAAACCTATTTCACGCGCCCTTCTTAAGTTCCGAACTCGGCTGGAGCTGGCCTCTGGCAGAACACTACATGCCTGTTGGCCTAGTTTCTTCCCTTTTGCAAAGGAAGACTGTGGCAAAGATGGATGAGGTGAGGCTCGGTTCCCTCTTGGCACCATCTGGACAGGTGCTATTTCAGTCTGGTTACAGACAGCATGTGCCAAAGAGGGTAACAGATCCCCTTGAAAGTGTCAGTCCAATTTGCCAGTACTTGTGTGAGACAAAATGCCAATCAGACAACAACCTGCGCAGCAGCCAGGGCTTTCTTCGGGCTCACACCCTGGCAATACGGAGTGGGCGCCATGCCTCATCAAGGACTCCCTGCCAGACACACGGACGCAAGGCCTGACCTTCCGGGATTCAGTGTGGAGCTCACGAAGTCGGGTCTTACACACTTTGATCACTAAGAATAATACATCAGTAACTGCTTCACAGCACTGTTGTAGGGACTCGATTCAATGGAGTATGCATAGCACTTGGCAGAGGGCTTGGCACCTGCTCGGAGTTTGGGATGGCTGATAATGAGATTCCAGCTCAGATACAACAGGGATGTCAGTAACAGACTGACATGGGAGGGTGGGGGAAACGGAACAGGAAAAGGAGCTCTCTCAAGCTCGTGGCCGAGTGTTTCTCTAACCAGGTCGCTACTGCCTGTTTTCTAGAAGGAATGAGGCACTTACCAGTTCTCCAAAGTGTTTCATGGCGTATTCTAACACCCCGGCAGCCGCCTCAGGCTGTTGGAGCTTGTTGTTAATGCTGAGGAAACAACAGAAGGACATGGTTACAGTCCACAGGTCTGAGGGTGGTTCCTGGTCACGTGCAGGTAGGTAGGAGCATGCTGGGGACAAGATCCTGCAGACACAGAGGGCAGCACTCCCTACCCGCCCGCAGGGAGTTCAGCTCCCCTGAGGGCATTGGAGGAAGGGTTCCTGACCCTTTCCCTGCAGCTGATGGTAGCGGGAGAGAGGCACAGACTGCTTTGCCCCCAGCTTCTGCCAGGCAGGCAGCACCTGTTTATTTCCTGGACCCAGAATTGCTCTTGCCGTGGCGTGCAACTGGGAGTCCTTCTCATGAATGAACCCTTCCCTCTTCTCACAGGTCGCCTTCAGGAACAGGAACAGCCAAAGTTCATCAAAATCACTGAACAGGCAGAACAGAGGCGGCCCTGCGGCTGGTCCATTGATGGGCCTGGCCCTCCGGATGTGCAGCCCTGGTGGCTGTTCCCTTCCAACTTAGATGCTTACCCCTTGCTCTACAGCAGGCTGCAAAAGGAGCACAGGAGCGTTACTCTGGCTGGCCTCCAGTGACACCTGCTTTGCTGATGTCAGTTCTGGGCAGTACATGGACCGTGTGCTAGAGAACCAAAACTGTATGAGCAGCAGAGTAGCATCATTGCTGTGATGCAGGGGGACATGGGGTAATGTTTCCAAAGGCCTGCTGCCAGCCCCAGTTAGCCAGAGATACTGCAAGGAGGCCCTATAAGCTGGAGACCTTTGCTGCAACAGGGAATCATGCACCTAAACCCAACACAAAATGCAAGCACTGGGCCTGGTGCAGTAGCCTAGTGGCTAAAGTCTGCACCTTGCACATACTGGGATCCCAGATGGGTGCTTGTTTGTGTCCTGGCTGCCCCACTTCCCTTCTAGCTCCCTGCTTACGGCCTGGGAAAGCAGCAGAGAATGGTCCAAAGTCTTGGGATCCTGCAACCACATGGGAGACCTGAAAGAAACTCCTGGCTTCGGATTGGCTCAGCTATATTGTGGACACTTGGGAAATGAATTAGCAGACAGAAGATATTTCTGTCTCTCCTTTTCTGTTTATCTGACTTTCAAAAAAAAAAAACACAATAAATCTTAAAGAAACAAACAAACAAAACAAAACAAAACAAAACAGAAATCCCGCAAGTTTTGAGGCTGGTACCATAGTTTATACACTAAGTTTCAACCTGCAGTGCTGGAATCCCATATGTGTATCAGTTCATATCCTGGCTGCTCCACCTCTGATCCAGCTCCCTGCTTGGGGCCCGGGAAAGCAGCAGGGGACGACTCAAGGCTTTAGGTCCCTGCACAGGTGTGGGAGACCTGGGAGCTCCTGGCTTCAGATCGTCCCAGCTGTGGCCATTGTAGCCATTTGGGGAGTGAACCAATGGATGGAAGATCTTCCCTGTCTCTCCTCTGTATAAATCTGACTTTCCAATAAAAATAAATAAAATCTTAAAAAAAGTAACAAAACACAAGTCTGAATTATGGGAAGAAGGGGAAAGGGGAGGGGGAGGAGCTTGAGAAAGTCACAAGGATGTCCACAGCCGACCTGCTCGCTGGTCAGGCAAGAACGGAACACATCAACTTGGAAACCTATCCAGGTTTAATGAGCAAGGGGATCCAGTCCGCGGTGCTGAGCACACACTGTCTATTTGCCCAGAATTAATGTTCAAGCGGTAGCAGGAAATTCCAGGACTCGGGTTCAATGTGGTAAAATGGCAAAAGATTGCTATTACAAATACTATTTTAAAAAATTCAAATTCCAACACACCTCTTCCAAGAAAACACAGCATTGCCCAGAAATAAGATGAAGCAGAAGTTAACATGTGCGAAAGTAATAATCTAACAGCTCATGTTTACAAAGCGTATTTGAAATGATCTTTCCAACGTATCACTCCTTCGACTTCCTGCAATTCCTAGCAGGAACAGAACGGTACTGTCAGCCCCGGCTTAGTCAGGGGAAAATGAAGGCCAGGAAAGGGAAAGGCGAGGGGGGGATGCTGAAGGCTAAGGTTTGAGCAGTGTCCTGAGTTTCACCTGTTGTAAACTATTCCCAAAGGCGCACCTCAGTGGGCTTCCTGTGGTAGTGAGAGGCTTTGCCCCAAGAGCAAGGTCTCTGGCTTGCGTGCTCAGCAGCCCCACAGGAGGCCCTCCCCAGGAGCCAGACAAGTGGTGCCTTCTTCTGAGGTCCCCGGCCTCCAGAGATCCTGCTCCTTAGAAAACACCCCATCAGAGGCACTCAGGAACAGCAACAGAACACCAACCATGACCAGAGCTATCCTGTGCAGCGGGCCTGTGGCCAACAACACACCACTGAATCCACGGAAGTGGCTGTGCCACGCGGCATGGGCAGAGGCTGGAAGAGTCTGATGGAGGTTCAGGGGAAGACAGGAAGACGAGGGACAGTCTGGAACTCCTCAGAGATTATGCAAGTGGTTGGGGCCAGAATGTGATGGGAATGGGAGCAGCAAGCTCGACCCTCTGGGGCCTCAGACGGAACTGAGGACAGATGGGAATCCACAGCAAAGGCCATCCTTGCCCTAAACTGGAGAAGCAGCTGGTCAGACTGTGTCCATGCCCAAAGGCTTCATGGAAGGGCCAGGGAAGAACAATGCATGTATGTGGCAGAGGACATAGCCAAACAGCAAGGGGTCCAGGCTATTTCTAACCACATGAAGATGTAAGAGGGAAAAAAATGACTCAAAGATAGAATTTGTCATCAAAAGGAAAGCAGGGCGGGAAAAACTGGAACACTCAGGCCAGCCCTGAGGTACGGAATCAAAGAACATTCCCTGGCGAGGACACCAAGGGCATGGCTCAGCTAGGGAGATGAGCCTGATGGAAGAGACCGTCACACCAGTGGGAAGCAAGCTGAAGGCGTTCAGAGGCCTCCGGGTTGCCCTGCACCAAGGCCTGGGAAGGCAGAGGGCTTGGCCAAAGGCCCCCTCCATAAGCTTCCCGCCTTGGGCTGCCACGGCCTCTGCTCCCAGAATCCCTGACAGCACTCTGTGGCCACTCCCACTGTGGCTCAAGTGGCCCTGTGTACGGTTCCAGAGAATACAAGGCACAAACCCGGGTGGGGCCTACGTGAGCATCTCTGATACCCTTTCAGCATACCTCCCACTCGAATGCGTGTGCAGGCAGGCAGGCTGCATGAAGGCAAGGCATCCTCCAGCTGGGCACTTTAAGGGAGCCTTGAGGTTCAGGATAGAGAGTCTAACTGCACCAGCTACTGTTGCCCTGTTTATTCCTTCCTCCTCACCTCTTTTCACTTTTTAAGTTTGTTTACGTGGGTGGCAAGGACCCAAACACTTGGGTCCTTGCTTTCCAAGGAAAATAAGGGGGAGCTGAATTGGAAGTGGAATAGTCAGGACTTGAACTGGCACTCATATAGGATGCTGGCATCGCAGCAGGTGGCTTAACCAGCTGCACCACTAGCCAGGACTCTTTATCACTTTCATTTTCTTAAGAACTTCCTTCTGGAGCTACTTGTATCTTCTCTCCTCCAGGGCTTGTGCATCGAAAGCCTCCCAGGCTGTTGGTGGGGGCATTCCAGGGAGATGAGTGAGCACAGCCCCAGCGAACAACGGCGCTGGTCGGATTGTCAGGGACCTTCATTTTTCCTTCTTCCTCCAGGACTGTGGCACTCTATCCCGGCAGGCAATGTCTTGCAACAGCAACAAGAGCAAAGCCACCCCGGGAGCCTACTGGATGTTTGAGGCACTGTGTTCACTGCTTATGTGGACACCAAGTCTCAACCTTATGAAGACAATTCTAGCACTAATATTCCCATTTGATATAAGGAAACGTGGCCAGCAGGTCACAGGTTGTTGGCAATTGTCCTGGGAAAGCACTGCCATCTAAATGTGTTCTAAGTAAGAATCAAGGATGTGCCATAAACTCTCAGAGTTCCACACCTGGCCTCATCAGGCCCTCAGGGAACAGCTGTACGAGGAGGGATGGGAAGCCAGGAGGGAGATGTCTCAATTAGCTACTCATGCTTTCTCTCTGTGATCAGTTGTACAGGAGAAAGGAGCCTCTCCCTCCCACCCCAGTCCCTGTACCTTCATTGTGACATCTTCATTGACACCATGGCCATCATTTCCCTCTGATTTCCTTTCCAAAGCGACTACTGTCGCTACAGTAGTCTGTGGGAGTCGGCATGCACGGTGGCAGGCTTTCCCCCGGCAGTGTGCCCACGGCTGCCAGGCCTGAGTGCAGCTCACAGTGTGTAGGTGAAACACACTTTGATGGGATCAGCAGTTGCCAGCTATGAACTCCCACTCTTCTGCTCCTTGGGTGACACAAGGCTGTCCTTGAAATGTTCCCCTTTTAAACTCAGATGGGCTTTCATGAGATGCTAGGGACAGACATGTCCGGCACGTGGAAAGAAGCCACCTTTACTCATCAGCCCACTTTAGGATCAACTCTGATTTTATGAGCAGCTGGGAGTTTTATCAAAGTCCACTCCATAAACACTCCCTCGGGCATTCCCTATTAACATGGTAGGCTTACAAGTCATGCTGCTCAAAGTGCCTGCAGAGGTGCACTTAATGACAAAAGCCAGACTCCACTGCTGCTGGGCCAGTGAAAAGACCTGATAAAGAGGACTAAAGGACCCAAAGCCTGGCCAAGTCAACACAGCCATCACAACTACATGCCTCTCAAGCATCTGGCACTGAGGCCAGGAGAAAAGATAATGGCATCACAGCATCTTCTGAACTCCCGGATACTGATCCCATTGTTGTCTGAGCTCAGCAGGAGGGGCTATTTGCACCCATTTTCCAGTGAGCATACCTGGCCATCATCTTACTCAGCTGCGACTCTACAAACTGTCGGTTGGTGTAATAAACCCAGAGCCCACAGCAGAACCTGGTGGCAAAAGGATGAGACACACTCGGTGGAACAGAATCAGCAGTGGATGAGGCGATTCCACAGACAGGTCCTGCCTCACCCACACCTCCTCTATGCCCCAGTCCCAATGCTTAGATTTTA